TCTGAACTTTTGTTACCTTGTCAAATTTTGGTAAATACTCTGGATGTAAAATTAATTTTAGTAAAACTGAAGCAATTTGAATTGGTTCTCAAAAATGATGCCAAGATTTTCCTTATTCTAACCAGGGTGTTTTATGGAAAACATCTCAATTTAAATGTTTATGAGTAAACTTTTCTTTAAACTTAAGTCTACTGTATTGTTTGAATTATAAAGAGAGATTGAAAAAATGGAAAATACCATAAACTGCTGGCGTATGAGAAATCTTTCTTTAATGGATAGGATTTGTGTAATCAAAACACTTGTATTGCCACAACTGATATTCTTACAATCTCAGATTTGGTTAATCCTCCTTTCCCTGGGCACAAACTTTTTGAAGAACTGGTACCAGATTTCGGTATTTCTTCTCTAGATAGAATTTTTAATTTTTTTTTGATAAAGAATATTCCAGAGGACTGGATGGTGGATTTTGATGTTGACATTGTTGGGGTTCATGATACCATAGTGCTTAATTTGTTACAATATAAAAAAGTTCCTAAGAATGCTTACATTGTGCTACTTGGCTCGCATCTTCCAGCTAAGAGATATGCTTATTGGAAGGATAATTTATTGGTACCTATTAATGTTAACTGGGAAAAGGTTCATTGCACTAATTTATTTTGTACTCTTGATACTAAATTAAGGTCTTTTTATTTCAAAGTCTTTCACAAAGCCATTGCAGGGAATGATTTCCTATTTAAGATCAAGAGGAAGGATTCGCCTAATTGTTCTTTATGTGAAAAGAAAGAGGAAACTTTAGTTCATTATTTTGTGAGTGTAAAAAGGTTACTCCAATTTGGGACAATCTTGTGACTGTCATTTGTCAGAAATTAAATTCCAACTTACCTTTAACCAATTTTGAAAAACTTTTTGGCATCTGCAGTGACAGGTTTGTCTCATATCTGTTTTTGCTATTGAAATATCATATTTATTCATGCAAGTTTAGAAATATGCTCCCCAATTTCACAGCGTTCAAATCACTGGTTAAGAAACAAAAAGAATTGGAATATCTGTCAGCCAAAAAGAAAAGTAAATTGCCTAGTCACTTAAAAAAATTGAGTTTTGACCTTTAAGCTTTTGTGTCATCATATATAGACCTTTCTTTTTCCTCTTTGTTTTTAATATGATCTTACAGTGATCTTGTTATGTAATATTTTGTCTGTTGTACTCCCATGTCTACTTCTGTACATATTCCTGTGCCCCTTTACAGAGATATAAGTATTTATTGTTACTCCAACCTCTTTTTTTTTTCCTTCCCATTTTACATTGCTGTTAGTTATTTCCCATGGTCAAACAATTTTACATTACTTGTGTGCATATAATTTTCGTTTACAAATCACATTGCCACTGTGGAACATGAGCAATAACCTCGATTGGAATTGAGTCAGTTTACGCGTGTTTCCTTATTGCCTATTCAGGAATGTATTTTTATCATTTCAGTTGATTTCCCCACGCTCTGTCTGCGCAATTCGCCGACTGGGTGTCTGGAGTGGGCGCTGGTCGGGGTGTGAGGCGATCTGTCTTACCCGCATGTTGAGTGTGGATTGTGTGTGTTGGGGGGGGGGGGGGGGGGGGGGGGGGGGGGGGGGGGGGGGGAGGGGGCGGTCGTGTGTTTGAGTGTTAGTATGAGAGTGTTGAAGGTGTGTGTGTGTGTGTGTGTGAGGGGGGGGTAGAGCGGATTGTCTCATTCCTCGACTTTACTCCTCCAACCTGTTGGTGGTCTGGAGTTTCCATTGTACCTGTGGATGGCTTATTTTTACTCGGCTTTTTCTTCATTTTGGGCCCAACGAAATTTTCAGTTTCTGATGCAATGCTATCTCGAGGTTTTTGCTTTTGTACTTGTAATTGTTATAATTCTGATTAATTCTATTACGTGTACTCTGCCCTCCCCCCCCCCCCCCCAGATCATCTCAATCGTTTGTAAATATCTTAATTCGTCATTAATTTCTTTTGTAACACAGCCTTTTATTTTTTTGGAAAGTTTGTATATGTTATGATTTGATTTCTTAATAAACAAATAATTTATAAAAACAAATATGGGGAATTATCAGAGGTGAAAATGGGGCACTTCTCGATCGCACCTGATAAGAGGCACTCACCAGAGATGAAAAAAGACACTTATTAGAACGGACAAGGGGCACTCTGCAAAGGAGAATTAGGGACACTTATTACAAAGGAGAATAAAGTAAAATGGGCACCTCTCAGATTTGGATTGGGCAATTATCAGAGGTAAAGAGGCAATTATCAAAGTTGGTAAGAGGCATTTTAATAATGCGGAACAGGCACCTATTTGAAATTAAAAAGGGTGCTAGCTTAAAGCTACAATGTCCCATTTGCAGGCCCACAAAATGAAAAGGTTAAATTCCGATGGCATTTGAAAGATAATATATACTAATTTAGAACTCCCCTAAAAAAAAAGGGGGGGGGGGGCTTGAAAATGTCTTTAAATGGGAAAAATAACGACTATTAGTTGTCAAATCGACTTAGGAGCTATAGAGCCAATAAGTAATAGTCTTGATTTTCAGACCATTGTACTGCATGGTCGTACGTTTTATGCTGCGCAAAGATTCAATCATTTTAATTTGGGCACATTACAAGGTGTGGGTTATTGATGTAGACAAATGCTCATGTACCCATTACAGCTCATTTTATGTATGTTATTATCAAAGAAGAAAAAAAGCCAGTCAGTTACCCAATACTAACAATAGTGTCTGACAGTGAAGTCTAGCAAGTAAACAGGTTTCCTTGCATAATTTGAATATTAGGACACAGCTATCCATTTAAATTGCACAGATAGAAAATACATGACATATTCATAATTCCTGCAAAGTTCTACAGAATTTGAGGTTGGCTGCAAAAGGGACATGTAGGTCTAGTATCTTTAATATCCGAAGTAAAAGTGGCATCTTTCCTATATGTAAAATGTATTTTTTTGCCTGACTATAAATTTGAGAATTCGTCATTTACCCAACAAACGCATAAGAAAGTATAATTTACAAAAAAGAGGGTAAAAAAAACAACCGGAAAATCATATTTCGTTTCAGCAACATTTGTAAATCAGCTGGTATCGAAATTATGGTGGCCCTGAAGGGACATCGCGAATAGACTAAATCGTGAAAAATATGCGATAAAATTCACGATATCGTCAATTTTATCGCATATTTTTCACGAAGAAATTCACGAAATTGACGATATCGTGAACTTTATCGTGAACTTTTCACGATGAAATTGACGATATCGTGAATTTTATCGTGAAAAGTTCACGATATCGTTAATTTTATCGTGTACTCTATCGTGTACTCTATCGTGTACTCTCCTGACGGGCGTTTCGTAAACAAAACCAGCCCTAGCTGGGGGAGACAGAGAGAAGGAAAAAACGGAAAGGGAAAGAGAAGATAAAAGGAAAGAAAGAATAATAAGAAGAAAAGAGGGAAACGGGGGGGGGGCGAAGGGCTCTTGCCTCCTCCTCACTCCCCCCCCCCCCCCGCCAAAAAATAAATAAGGAGAGAGAGAAGGGAAAGGGAAAGGGAAAGAAAATATAAAAGGAAAGAAAGAAGAGGAAGAAGAAGGAAAGAGGGAAACGGGGGAAGGGCGAAAGGCTCTTACCTCCCCCCCCCCCCCCCCCGCGAAAAAAATAAATAAGAGAGAGAGAGAGAGAGAGAGAAGGGAAGGGAAAGAAAGAAGAGGAATAAGAGGGAAACAGGGGAAGGGCGAAGGGCTCTTGCCTCCTCCCCCCCCCCCCCCGCCAAAAATAAATAAGAGAGAGAAGGGAAAGGGAAAGAAAATATAAAAGGAAAGAAAGAAGAGGAATAAGAAGGAAAGAGGGAAACGGGGGAAGGGCGAAAGGCTCTTACCTCCCCCTCCCCCCTCCCGCCATAAAGGGAAAGAGAAGGGAGAGGGAAAGAAAATATAAAAGGAAAGAAAGAAGAGGAAAAAGAATAAGAAAAGAGGGAAACAGGGGCGAAGGGCTCTTGCCTCCTTTCTTTTCTTTCTTTTCCTTTCTTTCCTATTCTCCCTCTTTTTCGTTTTTCTCTTTCTTTCTTCTCTTTCCCTTTCCTTCTGTCTCTCTCTCTTATTTATTTTTTGGCGGGGGGCGGGGGGACGAGGCAAAAGCCCTTTGCCCCCGTTTCCCTCTTTTCTTCTTCTTCCTCTTCTTTCTTTCCTTTTATCTTCTCTTTCCCTTTCCCTTTCCCTTCTCTCTCTCTCTCTCTCTGATTTATTTTTTGGCGGGGGGGGGGGGGGAGGGGGGGGGGGGGCAAGAGTCCTTCGCCCTTCCCCCGTTTTCCTCTTTTCTTCTTCTTCCTCTTCTTTCTTTCCTTTTATCTTCTCTTTCCCTGTCCCTTTCCCTTCTCTCTCTCTCTCTCTGATTTATTTTTTGGCGGGGGGGGGGGGGGGGGGGGGCCGGGGAGTGAGGAGGAGGCAAGAGCCCTTCGCACCCCCCCCCCGTTTCCCTCTTTTCTTCTTATTATTCTTTCTTTCCTTTTATCTTCTCTTTCCCTTTCCCTTTTTTCCTTCTCTCTGTCTCCCCCAGCTAGGGCTGGTTTTGTTTACGAAGCGCCCGTCAGGAGAGTACACGATAGAGTACACGATAGAGTACACGATAAAATTGACGATATCGTGAACTTTATATCGTGAACTTTTCACGATAAAATTCACGATATCGTCAATTTCATCGTGAAAAGTTCACGATAAAGTTCACGATATCGTCAATTTCGTGAATTTCTTCGTGAAAAATATGCGATAAAATTGACGATATCGTGAATTTTATCGCATATTTTTCACGATTTAGTCTATTCGCGATGTCCCTTCAGGGCCACCATACGAAATAGAATTAACCCATAGAAGTATATTATCTCTATGAATATTAAGTATATATCTCTATGATATAACCACATCTTAATTTTCTTTCTCGACGCGACCTCTACGACCATTCTTTTGCCACCAAATTTTGAGTGGTGACAACCAATGCCGACACGGTTACACTTACAGTGAACCTTTTGTCTGGTTATTCTGTTGGGCTTTCTTATTGTAACATCGGCGAAATTCAAGCAAACAAGACTAGGTAAATATGTCTCACATTTATTCAGTTTATCATCATAAATTATTAACGATACATTTGCCCTGCCGACAACTCAGAGGTGAGCCAAGGGCCATGGGCTAGGCGCGCTACGCCTAGGCGGCCGATTCGGGTGCTGAGCTGAGCTGGGGAGCTGAAGGAGCGAAAGGTATTAAGATCTAATCATTGGACAGTTGTCCCATGGCCTGACGCTGTTAATTTCAGTGATACATGCATGTAGTTGATAAAGTTAGACCCCAATTTAGTGCTTAGTAGGTTTGTCGACGATTATGAAGGAAAAACTGTGATAACGCCATTATGAACGTGTAGATGGCGCACAGTTTTTCCTTCATAATCGTTTTGCCTTCGGCGTAGACTAGAAGGGATGAGATTGATTTAGATGACTCCGTGCGCAGCGAGAGTTTAACACGGCTTGCAAGATTTCAACATGGATGTCGATTTTGACCCATAATTTCCTTAAAAGGGACCATTAAACGGATTATTTCAGTCAAGTTGGTAAATGGAACCGATGTAGTATAACCTTCTCCTAATTTTAAATAATCAATGCATGAGGTAAAATGACATTTTGGGGGATTTTGGGGGCAAAACGCTACGACCTGAAATAGCCGTGGCGTTATCAAGGGAATGTGTATAGACGGTTTCCGTCTCTAAAGAGAGAGCCGGCCGACCCTACCCCAATAAGAGGCTAACGAACGAAAGAGACGGAAAATTCGGTTTATGCAGTGCCATGCAGGCGCGTAGCCAGGGGCGGGGCGGTGGGGGCGGTCACCCCCCCCCCCCAAAACGCCGGCCAAAAAAAAAAGAGAGAGAAAGAGAAGAAAAAAAGTAAGAGGACGTAGGAAGAAAAAGGGAAAAGGAGTCGAGAACGGTACAACGTGAAATGTGAAAGGGGGAAACTGAGTTTAAATTAATGATTAAGAGTCGGGAAAGGTACAACAAATCGTCTTCTTTGTCTAATAATTTAATGAAACGTCAAAGCTTCGCGCAAGGGGGGGGGGGAGGGAACAGAAATCAGACAAGGATTAAGAAGTCGAGAACGGTACTTTGAGTCGTCTTCTTTCTCTAATAATTTAATGAAACTTCAAAGTTTTGAGCGGGAGGGGAGGAAACTGAATTCAGATAAGGATTAACAGTCGAGAACAGTACATCGAATCGTCTTCTTTCTCTACTAAATTAATGAAACGTCAAAGCTTTCGCGCGGGAGGAGGACTGAATACAGATAAGGATGAAGAGTAGAGAAAGGTACAACGAATCATCTTCTTTGTATACGTCAAAGCTTTCGCGCTATGCGCAGGAGGGGCGGACTGAATTCAGATAAGGATTGCGAATCGAGAAAGGTACAACGAATCGTCTTCTTTCAAAGCTTCTGTGCTTCGCGCGCGAGGGGGGAAACTCCCCCCTCCCTGCACCCACCCCCCTAGGGAGCGCGCTCTTTAAGAGATTCGCACGCTTTGCGTGCTCACTACCGCCCCCCCCCTAAAATAAAATCAAGGCTACGCGCTTGGTGCCATGTGATCTACATCTTGTAGATCTAGGTAAAATGTGAGTGACATGAGTGACGTGAACGCATTTATTTTTAGACTCAGACTCAGAGAACGTGTAGGCTGTAACCTGTCTACCAAAATCATGTGAGATGCGGAATAAATCTTCACTGCAAGCCTAGCATTGTAGATTGATTGTTGATCTATTCTAGATCTCTTCTATATAATTTCATCACTGCTAAAACAAAAGTAAAACTTGCTTTGCATGAATTTTTATCTTGTATTTTTATGTCAGTTAATTTGCAGTTTTGCACAAACATATTTTCTTCTAATCTTCCTGTAATAAGATTGTATTTCATATTTTTTGTCATGTAGATTTTTGTGACATATAATGCCTGGCAATATTTGCCAGCTATGATGAGCAGGCTCCCCCCAGGACATCATGATACCTGCAGTATGTTCAATCTGTGCTGACTACTTTGAGTCTGATCAAACCTGTGTCTCCTGTCCATGTGGACATGTCTTCCATGAACACTGGTAAGTCACGAGGCCTGTCATCATCAGCTCGAGTTTGCAAAATAACCTCCTATTCTAAGTATCCCAATTTATCCAGCTAATTGCGTCTTTATCAGCCCGCAGTTGCAACTAGCGGAATATTTGGTCGAGAAAATATCCAGAGAAATCTTGGTCTTGTTTCCAAAATATCCAGAGCCTGAAAATACCGGGTTATTTTGCAAACTCAAGCTGATGTGGACAAGCCTATTGATCGTTTGAAATGGGATACAATAGTCCCTGGAGAGACCTTGTATCTTTTCTATTTGTTGGCAAGTGAGAATAAATGTACTTGTATGAAGCATCACTAGTATGCTTTCTTGACTCTTGTGTACAGAGGGGAAATTCTCAGTCTATGACAGTAGATTACTCATAGATATATAAGTGTGATTATGATAACATAAACATTATTTGTCTTTGTACTAGTTTTCTTATTGAGCATTATGTAGCTCGTATGTGAGAATACAGAATTTTAAACTCTTTAATTTTGTGAAAAGAAATCATTTTTAGAATAGGACATTCCCCCCCCCCCCCAAGAAAACCCTACAAAACAAAACAACAGACAAACAAACAAACAGAAAACGATATTAACAGAAAAACAAAACAAGACCGAAACAGAACAAAACAAAATCAGTCAAAGGTTATTTAATGAGATAATACTTCTTACTTTAGAAATCACATGGTCTTTATTTGCCTTCTTGTAATATAAAGCATGTTCAAGTTCAATGGTATTATCTAGGATGTTTGAACTGTCCCTTGTTTTGTAGCTTGTTGCAGTGGCTCGAGACCTCCACCACGTGCCCTCAATGCAGACGTCATACCACATCAAGGAAACTCATCAAATTATATTTTGAAGTACAGCCACCTGAAGATGGTCACCTGGATGCGGCGTCACTCAAGGTCTGTTAAACTCTCTATCCGTCTGTTAACCAAGAATTCAAATTTGGGTGTCAAAACTGATAAGTAGATGTAAAAAAAGAGGTCTATTAATTGAGTTGGATTGTAAAAAAGTTATAGAGTGTCTTCCACAAGTAACATGTGTATTTTGCACATAGTGATATAGCCCTGGCTAAAAACCTGGGCCCATATTCGTAAAACCATACTAAGCTAGTTGTCACTGATTACCTAGTAAGTACATAAGTAGTTGTCAACTGGGCGTAGTAAGGTGTTATGAATATATATTCACAGTTTTGTAATTCAGTGGGGAAACTCAATTTAAACAAAATTGCTTTTGGTGTGTGTACAATGCAAAGAGAAGAAGGAAAAAAAAAACCTAGGAGAATTGATTTTTTTATTGTTAGTTTGATAATAGTCAAACATGTTTACTAACCATGCAGGAAACTTTTGTATTTTTATACATCCACTATCATTTTTCCTTCAAATTTTCCTTCACATCTTTCCTCCATGTTATTCTCATTTTGTAAAGAATAAGAAAATACAAGAATATTTCCCTCGTGTATGTCAAACACGAGCCTGATTATTGTAAATAATTATTATTAATTGTTATTGTATAATTGTGTTAAGTGGGGGCACGCTACAAGAGTCCTATCTCGCACCCCAGGGCAACGTGTTTCTGACACGGCCGGTTGTAGCAACTACTCTGAAGATCAAGATACATTAATTTAGATCTAAGGAGAACGAAGGAATGAACAAGCTTGATAGAGGCAAAGGCTTCATTGGGGAGAAAAAAGATAACAATTAATAATTATCATTGATGTTATTTGTTTTAGAACGAGGTGGGTACACTTGAAGTTGATATCTGCAGGAAGAAGAAGGAGATATCTGATCTTATAGCCGAGAATGCTCATAACAGTGACAGGGTAGTCACATTGAACAAGAACAACAAGAAAATCTTAAAGAAGCTTTCGGATGAACAGTCTACAAATGAAGCGCTCAAGGTACGTGTACCATGCAGGGAAAAAAATAATATTTATTTTTCGGGGGCCACTTTTCAAGCTTGCCTCCATGAAAATAACATTCTAAAATTTCTTTTGCATTAAACTCTATGCAAATTTATGAGGGCTCTTTTATAATTTTCGGAGGCTATTTTGCCCAGAGCCCCTGTGTATTTTTTTCACTGGTACCATGGCATAAGATGCAATTATGTTACCTGAATTACTTATGATGATGCCCATTAAGTCTTAAGACTTTTACTGAGCGATTCAACAGGTCTGTTCCCTATTCATATAAAGCTCATAAAAACAATCCTCACACCGGGTCAAAATTAGTTCAAACAATTGGGTTCAAACTTATTAGTGGGTTGCCCACTCTAGTTATGGTATGGATAGAAGTTAAATTCCAGCAGAACAACTAAATATGTGATTATCACAAATTCCTCTTCTATATATTGGAATTATGTATGTGTGTAGCCAAAAGTTGTAAGTTCCCTTTAAGATATACATTTAAAATGTAAAATTTACAATTAAATGATATGTACAACTGGTTACATTAGGCAAATAATGTATTAATCATTAGGTAAGAATGAAAATGAGACATTAAATTGTTCTCACTCCTTCTTGTGTTGAAGAACATGCACTTCAGATGAAGAACGCATAACATCAAACAGTTTTGTTGTAAAGACCTTACACTGTCTAAATGATTTGTTGTTAGATTAAATCTTTTTGTTTAAATTTGATCTTTATAGAAGCAACTTGATTTGATGAGCTACAGAATGGACGAGGCTAAAGAAGCAAAGCGAGAGACTAAAAGGCTAAGGGAAAAATTAAAATTTTTGGAGAGGTGAGGCAATGTAGTTCAAAGTTTCTTCATCTTTCACAATGAAAGGTTAATATATGTTTAGGTAATGATGAATATGTTTTAATTATACAGTAGGCTTGCGGGTGCACCATGTGTGAGAGAGAGAGAGAGAGGGTTGAGGAGTCCTGAAAAATGACTTTGACTCGGTAATCTTTCTTGGGGGTGTGTAGTCCTTGTTTTAATTATGTGCCATGTCATGTAAACAACAATGTGAAGAATAATTTTACATTATGCCCCAATTTTGCATTGGTTTTGAGCATTGAACATATGTAAATTTTACTTTGAATTTAATATTTATGCTGAGCCTAGCCATACAATCACTTCATTACTTTTGTTTTTCTTCCATCTTCATTCATGCTTTCTCCATTGAGCTTTTTCAATTGTCTCAGAATTTCAGAAGAAATCTTTATCGGGCCAAATCATTTATTCAGGTGTGAACTTATAATTAATAGGAATGCTAATAATTCATTTGTATTTATTTCTTATTTTCTTCTCTTTCTCTATCATACTTCTTTCTTTTTATCTTTTTCTCCTACAAATCTGTTTCTTTCTTTCGGTCTTTCTCTCACTCTAACTCTCTTTCTTTTTCTTGTTCTCTTTTCTCACTCTTTCTTTGTCATACTTCTTTCTTTCTTTTTCTCCTACTTAATCTGTTTCTTATCTTTTCTCACTTTTTCTTTCTCATTGTCTCTTTTCTTTCCCTCTCTCTCCCTCTGTATCTCTCTGTCCCTCTGTTTTTTGGCTCTGTTATCGGTCTCTTTCCCTATCCCTCCCCCCCCCCCCTCTCTCTCTCTCTCTCTCTCTCTTTCTCTCTCTCTCCCCCTCTCTCTCCCTCTCTCTCTCTCTCTCCCCTTCTCTCTCTCCCTCCCTCTGTTTTCCCTCAGATTTGAGCTTGTAATGTCGATGAATGCTGACGTGGTTGATAATATGCTGCGTGAGTTTGGAGAAGGACCCAAATCAGCCAGAGAATTAGCCACATATTGTGCATCTTTGAAAAGGTACCAAATCAATTTCATTTAGTTATTGATGGATCTCATTTTATATGATAGATAATATTCAATGATAAATTCAGACTGCAGAAAGATTGCCTCTCCAAGGTGGTGCTGAAGACAATAAGTTGTCAGGTTGTTGGTATGTCAGTTTTATTGTCCTTCCCTATGTACATTTTTTCCCATCTCATGATATTTCAGGGACAGTTTGAGCCCTCGAGGCCCAAAATTAAAACTCATTGAATAGTACACTGGTTAGTTAACAGGACAATTAAAAGAATAACAATTTTTACAGATTAGTGGAAATAGCTCATGTGCAGAACTGAAAATGGTATATTGTGAATCATTCATACATTCATCTTATTAATTTCTTTCTTGCTGAAAGAGTTATGCTCATTTTTGCACTGTGTTACCGTATGTTTCCCATTAATGTATATTTATTTTGATACTCTGATTTGCTTTGCAGGGAATTTGAGAACATCAAAGACTCAAGGAAGCAGCTCAAAGAAGAAAATAGCAGTCTCAGGAAAGATCTCAACCAAAAAACAAGAGTGGTAAGATAATCTTGATAATGCAAAGGGAAATCTTGCTAGGTACCGCGGTAGAGAGAAAGAGAGAGAGAGAGAGAGAGAGAGAGAGAGAGAGAGAGAGAAAGGGGCTTTAAAAGGGTAGTCTAAGGACTTACTATCAACAAAAAAAAAAATTGTTTTTATCATCATCATTATTAGTATTCTCTATTTTTGTTTAAAAGGTATTCACAGCCTAGAGAAGGAAGGAAAAATCCAAAGAGATTAATTAGATTTGAGATTATCAGAGTTTCATTAGATTTAGATTATTACCATCTCTGTCAAATTGGTAGTCACATTGAGTGCTTATGACAACTTTTATTACTGTCTTGACCTCTTATCATAATTTGTTAGTCTCATCTTTCTATCCTTATGAACAGCTGGAAGTGAAGTCTAAAGATTTAGAGGCTGTTCAGCATTCTCTGGTCTCATTACAAGATGATGTTCAGAGCTTAGAGAAGGAGAAGAAAGAACTCAGGGAAAGGTATGAGATGCTACAAGCAGCACTCAACTCACCGATGGATGGTGCCATGTCATCATCCCTCAAACAAGTCTTCACGTGAGTTCATATCCTGTGGTCTTCAATTCATTTCTGTACTCTATCCCTCCTGTTTTGGGGCCCTGTTGCATAAAACTTGTTATCAATAACGAGTTGGTATAACTGTTATAAACTACTTAAATTGCTGCATGTGATTGCCTGAAAGCAAATTTGATGAAAGAAATAAGAAAATTGTTATTGATAACAAGTTTTATGAAACGGGGCCCTGGTCTGGTCTCTGATGAACATAAATCAAGTCCTCCAAGAAAGAAGATATTGGGCTCCATAATATTAACAAGTGCTAAGTGCATACCGTATATATATAGATGCAGACCCCTGCTGTCCCTTTATTTCTCACTTATTTCTTCACCATGGTCTTCCACCTTGTCTCCTTTCTCTTTCCATTATCTCTATCTGTCTGTTTGTTTGTATCTCTGTCTGTCCATCTGTCTGTCTGCCTATCTGTCTCTCTCCTAATATTGTCCACATGTAGTGCATCTTTACTTTAACTCCATGTCGTCTATGAATTTATCCTTCTACACTCTATCCATCCACCGTATCTGGTCTGGTTTCTGGACCTAAATCAAGTTTTACGAGATAGAAGATCTTTACCAGGGCTTTTTGAGGGTGTTTTTTGTGGTCCAGAATAATCGAGTCAGCATGTACATTGTATGTACACTGAGTACAAATTCTGATTTTTGTGTCAGAGGGCCTGTTAGTATCAAACCCTGTCTTAAGGTTCTATATAAAAAAAAGTGTTCAGTTCATATAGACTCTTTCCTTTCCCTTGCTTTATTTCTTACTCATTTCTTATCCTTTTCTCCATCCTATATTCTTTCTTTTTCACTCGTAAACATTTTACATCTTGTTTCACCTCAATATATCTTGATATATATATAACCAAGATGTCCGATATTCCTCAATTACATTTTCCCATTATCAGGTCCAGCAGTATGAGTAAGAGGCCAAGACTTGTGCTAATTTGAAAAGATACGTTTTGATCCATGTTTCAACAATTTAAGAACACATTTTGTCATTACCATGCAGGCCCAGTAACATGACTAAGAGGCCCAGACTAAGTGGTCCTGATGGAGATGATGATGATAGTATCCTCTTGGCTGCACCTGGTGACCCTCAAACACCAGACCTAAGTCTACCTAGTCCCAGCTTAGAAACAAGAAACACCTGCAAAGACCTCGGCATTCGCTTTGTCAAAACTACCTCCCTAGCTGCCAAGATGAAAAGGGTATGTAATCAAAACTTCCTTGTTGCTTGTACCTGACTCACATCAACGAGACCAACACCAGGGGTGTTTCACAAAGATCCTGATTTGGACTTATCTCTAAGTTGGACTTAACAATTATGGAAAGCTGTTAGCATTAAAGAAAATATTATGTAACAGTTATTTTAAAAGGCATAAAATATTGTTTCAAATCATTCATATTTTCTTTTATCCAGGAGATTTCATGTGCTTGATGTGGAATTTATAAAAAGTCTAAAATACGTGAATTTTTGCTTTTGAGTATATTTTATTTTAGGGCTACAAATGGCTCTCCATAATGTTTAAGTCCAACTTAGAGTTAAGTTCGACTTAGGATCTTTGTAAAAGGACCCCCAGATTGACTACAGACCAACCAGACTATTTTATTATCCCTGAATTGCCAAATATCAGTAGGTTTGGCGTGGGTCTGGACTCTGGAGTTGGTTTGGAGTCGGATTGACTGAAGTATTAGTTGATATTGATGGATGCAAAAGTTTGGGATTCCTAACACACCCTATTATCAAGAATTTGTGATTTATCCATATACTTTATTCGAAACCTGGTACTATACATAGGAATGATTTTGTATGTCACCTCACTCACCTGTTTTCGGGTTGTCCGTCCGTCCGTCCCGTTCTTGCGATCGCGTTTTCTCAAGAACCAATTGATGGATTCCTGCCAAACTTGGGTCATGTATGTATCTTGCAGTTCTAATGAACTGATTAGAATTTGGGGTCACAAGGTCAAAGGTCACAAGACTTTTTGTTATTTTCATATTCAAAGTGTAATATTGTTGTTCTTTTGGAAGTTTCACTGCATAAAGAGTAATGCTTTTTCTTTGCTTTTGTTCATCTACTCTTCCCAGCCTGAAAACATGGTGTCTGAGTCTGCAGTGTGGAAGAACACATTAGCTTCGTCTAGTCTGTTCAACAAGAGAAGAGCCCTCTCTGGTCGTAACGAGGGAAGTCTCAGGAAAGGTTACGACGGCATGGGTGGTCATGACAGATTTTCGGAAGTCGATGTATCCTTTTTGAGGCCTATATTACTTTGAATGTATGAGTGAGCTGATTTGCTGGAAGTGATTTTACAAAGACGGTGACGGAAGATCCTTTCAGTTAATATGATGGATTTTCAGATTTCATAATGCTTGTTAGAGCAAGATCTATTAGCAATTTATTTTTCCATGAATAATTACATTATTTACGTTTAAAGGTATAGACCAGTTTCGGAAACATCCCCCTCTCAAAAAGGAAACGGAAGCTCTTATTACCAATGATGTGACAGAATATGTTTGACTAATACGTGATGATACAAAATTTGCCTGAAATCCACCTGTGCTAATTGATATAAATTATCATATCGATCCGGCCTGGATAGATATCGCGAATGCACTTCAACATTGTACATTTACCATTACTGGTCTTTACCTTTAAGAATAATGACATATAAATGAAATTTTTTAAAAAGGAATCTGAAAATATCAGGAAGTGATGTTTAATTCCAGAAGAAAGAAATGAACATTGATACATGAGTGCTTGTTGTGCATAAGATTTTGATATTTCTTAACCAATCTATACTATCAGCCAATCATCATCAGACCAAACATGAAGAAAGTACCTCGAGGAGTGAAGAGGAAACCTTCAGGGAAGCCTTGTACCCACGCTTTACCAACCTTGGACAGGTTCTTACCATCGTGAACAGGCGTCCTAATCTTACGATCCATGAGAGGAAACCTTTAAGCAAAACCTTATACCCACGCTTTACCAACCTTGGACAGGTTCTTACCGTGGTGAACAGCCGTCATCTTATGGTTCATGAGAGGAAACCTTTAGGGAAGCCTTGTTCCTAACTCTTACCAACACTGGAAAGGTTTTCTTACCATCACAAACAGGCACATTGTGCACTTGAGATTTGTGAGTGGAAACTCTCAAGGTAACCTTCAGGGAAACTGTGTTTGCAACCTGTACCAACCCTGGACAGGTTCTTACCATCGTGAACAGCCATCATCATCTTACGATCCATGAGAGGGAACCTTCAAGCAAACTCTTAAGGAAACGATCAAGGAAACCTTCTCTTAAACCTTGTTCTCAACCTTTCCCAATCATTGACAGGTTCTTACCATCATGAACAGGCACAGTGTACACGTGTGATCAATAAGATGAAACCTTTAAGGAAACCTTGTTCCTAACCCTACCAACTGGACAGGTTTTCTTACCATTATGAACAGGCGTGTTGTCCACTTGAGATTCGTTAGAGGAAACGTTCAATGAAACCTATTTGAATACCTTGGAAACTTGTAAGGAACGTTAGCAGAAACCCTATTTTCTAAGGTACTTGGGGGCTCTTTGTGTAAAGTATCCTGATTATACTCCAGAAATTGATGCCAATCTTTTTTTCAACAAATGAGAATTATTTATTGAGGCTCTTGACTCTCATATAAATTGTTCTTAGTTTGATCCTTTCTCACATACATTGACAAGTTTTCTTACCCTTGTCCCTTTTGACCCAGGTGAATTAGATGAGTACCTGGCTATACTGGGGCAATACAAATTACAGGGCCTAAAGGAAAACCAGTATCAATACTGATGATGCTAAACTGGGTAAATTAGACCATTTATTCTTATTATTATCAATATGATTATTGTTGATAAGTAGAATAATGTTTGTCATGATAGTATATGCATGAAAGGATCATGAATTATGAGAGATAATGATTGTGTAAAAGTACTTCAGGTGAAAATTCAGGAAAACATTCGTACATGTAGTTGATAGTTTTCAGCACTGCAGATAACAAGTATAGGCAGAAATGCTCTTCTGGTTTTTGTAACTTTTTCCAAGTTCAAAATTATAGGTAATATTCAGTCCTAAAACCTTGGCAGTTAGAATATTAGAAACAGGCTCTTGAGTTTAAAGGACTTGCATGCCTTTAAAACTTGAAATGAAAAAGGCTGATAAAACAAGGTTTAGTTTGATGTTCCTTGAGACTACTGCACATCTTATGATCTAACTATGACTGACTGAAAAATATTTTTAAGAAGTATTAGATATATACATGGAATTCCAAAATGTAATTCTTCCTGAATTTGTTTTACAAAAAGAAATATTGAAAGTGCAGGGTGTCATGAGATGTCAAGTCAAAGGAAAAATGCCCAACTGCTGAGATTCCAGTGATGTTATATCATTACACAACCAGCTATGGACTACTGGACAGTCTGGACTAGTAGTTGATTTGGCTTTTCTGGAATATTAATGCTTAAAAGATTGGACTTTAATTGGAAACAATTTCCATTTTTGAATTACCGTATCAAATCCTTCTATATATTTTTTATATATCGTTAATGATCGAGGCCTTGTACAAATGATTTATATTTTGCTTCAGGTCCAAATTCAAGCATTCTTTAAAATTAGAGATAAAAGATGGTGCACATAAGGTGGTAGAAAAAATTGGCTATTTTTACTGACCGGTACTATATGTATGTTATGAAATTGCAATTCTGTCAGAAAATTTGTCTTTGATGTAGATTTGTGTGTATGATATCCTGTACAAAGAATGTTAATATAAAAAAATCTTTTGAAAGAACTACTGATCCCAGCATTATTATTTTGGCGTCAATTGGACATCCCCGACGTTATTTCAGAGGAAATTGAACCTTGATATCAATTTTATTTGAATCTTATTTTCATTTTATTTTAACACGGATCACTTGCTTCAGCTAACAGCTGTTCTTCTGCAAGTCTGTGCAGAAGGCTGCTTCTAGTAGAGAATCTAACTCGAGAAGGTCTAGTATTGAGAAAAACCCTGTAAAGGCATACTTATCACCTTTTCATGCAACTCTTTTTAAAAAGAAATTTTCGTACATTTCTTTTACAGAATTTAAAGAGAGAAAGAGACTGAGATGGAGGAGAGAGAGAGAGATAGAAAAAAAAGGGGGGAGGGATAAATAGAAAGAGAATGAAAAAAAAAAGAAACGATTGGTATAATTTAATTTAAAAACTTTTTAGAAATTATAAACAAAGCGAGACTGCTTCTAGTAAGGAAATTTTAAGAATCTAACCAACTGAAGTTTAAACACAAATACATGTTTATATGAATTATTTTAATCTACATCTGTATAATTCTTTGAAATTCAATGATCAAAATGATATAATCTGTACCGTCCATGATTGCCCCCCCCCCCAAAAAAAAAAAAAAAAAAAAAAAAGACTGATGGATTGCCCTTTAGGTGCCAGAACCTGGGTCGGTCGGTTAGATTTCTTTCCCCCTCAAAACAGCGACTTGTTTACGCTAGCAGGATTTTGATACTAGGGCTGAAGATGAGTGAGAATTTTGGGAATAATTAGATGATTATATGCATTTATATCCCATGCAAATATTATTATCATCGTTAGAACATTTTTTTCTCTTAAAAAGTCGACCATAGATTTGAGATTTTTGGGTCGGTAGCAAGGGCACTACAACATTTTTTTTGTTTACGCCTTAATGTATGCCAAACATGATCACCTCATCAACAAGCTACACTGGAAGCTGTGCCATAAAACTTGCTGAAATGTGAAAGGAGCAACAAATCAATGAAACTCAGCGAGTGAATATATTCATGTTATAGTAATCTACAAACAATACAGGTATAAAGAGTAATGATATCTTCCATTTGTGCTTTTTTATTATTTTTCTCTCACATGGATATTACTGAAACAAAATACTGGGGCCTGCTGCATAAAAATTGGCATTGTTGGTAACTTTGCCATTGATGGTAACTTTCATGAAAACTTTGATTTGATCGGCTGTTGAGTGATGTTCCCATGGTAGTTAATGTTGATGGCAAAGTTACCATCAGTGGCAAGTTCTATGCAACGGGGCCTTGATCCTCCTCATTGGCTTTCTGCTAGAAGGCTGTAACTGCCATTGACCATGTATAGCTCTTACAGCCTTTCTGGCAGACAGCTGACAAAATTTCATTTAATTCAAGTGGCACCATAACTGAAAATTACAGTGAAATCATATTTAACATAATCTAGAATAGTCACAAAGAATAGTTCTGTCCAAAACAACTGGTCAAGATTTGCAGTTAATGATGTTTACAAGTTTTAGTTGCATAAAAGATACATTTACGTAATGTACATTATCTTTGTTTTGCATCAATAACTTAGTAGAAAAACCTAGTTACATCTGAAGATCTGTAAATCTAGCTCTAAAATACGTCCTACTTTGTGAAATTACACATAGCGAATCAATCACGAGTCACCACATATTGTTAACAAATATACACATCCATAAAGATCATTATTGCCACATTTCATTCCAAGAATTCTTCAAATAAATTTATTACAAATAAGGTGGAACATGTACACAACATTTACAATCTATTACCTACACATATAACCACAATAAGACTGGTAAATAGAAGATTTATTTCAAAATAGAAAACAGAAGAAAATGATGAGAAGTACAATCACTGACATACATGTAAGAGATATTTTGTGTACTAGAAACCCACTGAATCTCTTCACTTCTAGATTCCATGCTACGTTTTAAGAGAAAAAAAAAACATCTTGAAAGATCTGTTACATTTCTAGGACAACATGTGCTGTTGGTTCATAAACTTGCCTCCTAAAATACTGTCATTCACTCTGAATCATTTGAAACGAATAAGAAATTTACAGAACCGGATGTATAGTTTCAATTTATATTTTTGTTGTTTAGAAAGAACCCTTTATCAAGTAGTTTAGAGTGTGTTGACATCTTTACTAGAACACAAAGTTTCTTCTTTATTATTATTATTATTACTTATACCACGCTTTTCCGTAAAGGCCTAAAGCGCTTACAGTAAATGAAAATTAAAATTACATCAAAACATGTCATAAGAAAAACAGTCTTACAACTACAAAAAAGATGTGTGTTTAAGGCCTTTCTGAAGGTCATAACTGATGGAGACTGGCTTTAAAACATGTGACTGTACTTCGCACATATAGATCAGTATATTGGACATTGTGAACTGCCGTTTGTTATACAACTAGTTCGTCTATACCACCCATAAGATTTAATAATCATTTGATAATTATTATTATTTATGATTATTAGACAACACGGACAGTACACAAAATGGGCATTAGAAAAACTGGGTGTTTGACCGACTAGAAATTAGGCTAAATGAGCAACAGACCAAATAGGTTGTAGACTTATTGGACATTAGACCAAATAACTATTGGCCTAAATGGTTATTATACCAAATAATAAGTAGATGAAATGATTATTACACCGTGTGGGTAGTAGACGAACTGGTTATAGACCAAAAAGCAATTTATCACTGGATTATACAGTGTACATGTATACATGTATGTAAACACCAGCAAAAAATCACAAATCAGAAGTGTGCCCAAGTCCTGCCATTGAGAAGGCAGTGGGCACCAGAATTATCAGGATGAATTATGACAGGAAAAAGGCTATGTAGTGAGGTGAGGTTATGGCAGGGTATTGTATCATCATTTGACTCCATTTTTTCTTGTTTTCTCTTTTTTATTTTTCACCAATTCCATAGAACCTCGTATATATCTATATCTAATAGAACAACTACATCTTAGAGTGTGAGCACATATAACGATAACAATACAACCTGTAAGAACCCAGAAGTATAATGTACATGAACATCATGATCTGTTCACATTTTGTGTATACACGAATCACGACCGGACTCGTACCAAGAATTTGAGGGATCGACAATGAATAAAACTATTCAGCCACTGGGGGCTGTCAACACATCTTTAGATTTTGTGATTTTTATTACTTGATAGTCGCTGAAGGTTAAAGATAAAGTTGAGTTCTAGTCGCATGATTACATTATGAAAGAAACAGTGTGGAATCGATCAAAAGAGGTTGATCATCTAGCATATAAGTATTGGTGTGTACTGCAAGGTTCTTGAATCATCAAAATGATAAGAAATTTGGCCCAGTCTTGGTAAAGTTACAAGCGCTGTACACAGAAAGATGTATAAACTACACGAACATGTGGCATGAAAATCTGTCCTGATTTTTATACTGTTACATGCCATGTTTATAATATTCAGGCATTTGAAGAGCCATGCTTTTCAGAGAACATATCTTTCTCTTCCACACGTGCATAATAACAATGATAACGCTCACAAATTATTTTTCACCTCTTCCCAGAACTCAACCTTCTCTTTAAGTGTGTCTATTATTCAATTGTGTTGACCACTTCTTGTTTCTTCGCTTGTTGTATCTTTATGATTGTCAATCTACCACAGTTACATGAATAATTCATCAAGTTTTGCTGACACTTTCCCCATTGGCGAATATCTCACAGCCACTGTCGATCCCTCAAATTACAACTACATTTCTATTTGAATGTGAATCAATCCTAGTAATGATACAACCTCAAACCTAGAAGTATAACTACATTTGAAAAGTGAAGGTTATCTCCAGGCCTGTCTGAGCGCTTTAAGAGATGCTAATCGCCTGGTTGAGAGAGCAGCTACGACCAGGCCTGATAATACCATCAAGATAAACATGTAATCAAAGTCTTCTTTCAGCACGTCAAACAGATTGGAAGGCATCACACGGGTGAAGTAATAATCTGGAAAGTTGGGGGAGAACAAAATATAAGAAAATGCAAAAGAATAAACGTCGTCTCTGGCTCATTATTTGATAGATTTGTACGTCAATCGAGTGATTTTGTTGTGACAAGCTACCTCAAAACCACTACCGTAAAACAAACACAGTCATGAATTATTAACAATGGCCACTTTTGTGACCAAGAACCTTTGTGTGTTGCTTACATTTTATGTGGTAAGTTATTTTTCCAGAGAATGAAACTGGAAATCTTGCGAACTTCACGAAAGTTCATCGTGTTACAGCCTGGCAGATATATCAACAACATATCAGTACTTCATTCAACAAGTGATGAAGCTTAGTGAACAAGCTATACCAGTCGGTGCTCTGGCGACAATTGCTTTACGGCTACATGTCATAAAAAGTATCTAGGGTTATGTTTAGGGCAGGGTGATAGTGAGCACTGAAATAAAGAGAGGTTTTTTTTTTCCTTAACAACTACCCCCCCCCCCCCTTGAGTAAAAAAAAAAAAAGGATTTTGGGGGAAAAAATGGCATCTAACAACATTCCCCCCTTTTGAGTAAGAAAGTTGGGAGGAGAAATTGCGGAAAAAATTGGGAAAAATAGGGAAAAATCAGGAAAATAGGGGCAAGATCGGGAAGAAGAGAAAAAATTGGGGGGATTTTTTTTTTTTATTGGGAAACAGTTTTAAATTGGGTGATTATCAGGCCTGGTTTAGGGTTACAAGTGAGTCTAGGTTAGGTATAGTATAGGGTTGAAATCAGGATTTTGGTTAGTGTGGAGAATCCTTGTTTAGCAACTGTTGCAGAAGCATGTGTCATACTACTTACCTAATCCATAAGTAAGAACTAAACAGGTGGATTCCAGTCCAGCCGGCGCTGTCTGTATACCAGTCACTCCAAATATCTAAAGAAACAACAAACAAACAAACAATCACTTTGCATGACCAAGGAGCCACTTCTTATATTTCTTTTCTCTCTCTCTCTACCATAACACTCTGACATATTGCTGCATTGCTGTATTAATTTACATTTGCCATTCTCCATCCAGGGGTAGTCAATGGGTACCTGGTAGGAATTTTTACCTTGAATGCTTTCAGCGCCTTAGGGCAGCTGGACTAATGCCAGGGTAACAGGTACTACTATGTACATGCCTTGAGCATCCCCTGGGGTGGATATGTCTCCAATAAAAATGCAGCTGTTGTTTGTTGCTAATAACAAAACAGATTATTATATCAAGATCGTCCACTTATAATAATAATAATTCGTTTTAATATTGCGCTTAATACAAATGTCTCTAAGCGCTTTACAAATATACTATTACCCAGCAGATGCAGGCTAATATCTTGCCAAAGGATATTAGTGCCGTGTCGGGATTAGAACCCCTGACCTTCGCATCTCCAGTCAAGCACCTTAAACCACTCGGCCACGACACTCCTACTGACCAAACCACTTACAGTATAATTATTGACCTGGGCACTGGATTCGATTACTATTCTACACATTACAGTGCACATTCTTCAATCCCTGGGGAGCATTGTTGTTGTCATTGTTGTTGTCATTGTTGTTGTTGTTGGTTTTATCATTAAATGTACCCCATAAGACAAACGAGCAAGTGCAGTACTTACAGACTGATTATAATTGATCATAGATTGATGGGCGATGGGCAGCTCTGGGAGGTATGGAATTAGACCCTCTTCCTTGTGTTCTGGTTTGAGTTCTGTGGGTCGACGAGGGTCCAGGAACCGCTTTGGGAAAGACAGGAGGCCTCCAGAAGCGAGGGACACTGAGGGAATGAAGTATATTTAGTCAATAAGATGTGTGTTTAGCATTCTGTTCAGGTCAAAATAAACAATTTTATTTTTTCCTGCATGTATGAAAAGTATTAACACATTCGTTAATTAACATTGACACACTATCTTCTTGATCTTTTATGTCTCCCCCCTCCCTCTCTCAGCCTTTACCTTCAAATTCTCTCTTCTCTTCTCCCCCTCACTTCTCTTGTTCTTCTCTCATCCATCCCTCTCTCTCTTCTCTACCCATAAACCATTCCTCCCTATGCACTTCCCCTTAGTCCTCTCTTAACTACCCCTCTATTTCTTCCCTACTCCTCTTTATCTTCCCTTCCCTTCTCTCTCTCTCCCTCCCTCTGTCCTCCCCCTCTCTCTCTCTCCTCCTACTTGAGAGTGAAAATTCAAATTTGCTAGCACCCACACTAGAAGAGAGTGACACTGAGGGAAGGAAGTATATTTAGTCATTAAGATGTCTGTATAGCATTCTCATCAACTCAAAATAAACATTTATATTTGTTTCCTGAATGTATGTACATTATTAACACATTCATTTATCAACATTGGCACACTATCTTTCTTGATCTGCTATGTCTCTCTGTTTCTCCCTCTCTCTGCCTCTTCAAATTCTCTCTTTTCTTCTCCCCCCCCCCCCCCCTCTCTCTCTTTTCTACCCCTCAATCATCCCTCTCCTCAACAGAGATGCCAACCTCTTGACACAAAAAAACAGACTGAGTATCCTAAAAAATCAGATTTTCACGAAAACTCGACACTACCACTGGCCTGTTGGCCAGAAAATTTCAGAAAAATGTCTTACTGGTAAGAACGGTTAAGTAAAATGTTTGCTCTTTCATTAAAATTAATGAGAAAATTTTAAAGCAAAGTTTTTGTTGGGTTTGCGGGGTTTACTTGTACATGTTTCTATGCGATTCCATGTTTTTTACATATTTTTTTTTTCCTTTTCTTTTTAAAGAATGAAAAATCGTATTTTAAGAGGTGATACCGGTACTAAATACAATTTATTTGTACTGGTTGGCATCTCTGCCTCAACCGTCCCTCCCTATCACTTCCCCTTAGTCCTCTCTTACCTACCCCTCTATTTCTAACCTCCCTACTTCCCTCCTCTCTCTCTCTCTCTCTCCTCCTATTTGTGAGTGAAAACTCAATTTTCTAGCACCAACACTATTGTATGACTATAATTTATCTTTTTCGCAGATCAAACTATCTGCTGAAAACCAGAAGGGTATTTTAATACTCCCAATGATGGATACGAATTAATGACTTTAGAGTAGGCATCATACATTTCTGTCCGTCTATTATAACCAATATCGCTTAATCACAGGAACCTAATCACATCCATTCTTACACGACACATCACAGAGATCTGGACTTACTTAGAATGTGCCTCGCAGTAATGCCCCTTTCTGTAAACGTGGCTGACATGGCCTGAAGCCCAGAGGGCAGCACATAGGATTGTCTTTCGACCAGCGGCAAGTTAGGAGGGTCCAGTGACGAAAACAGTGTACTGCAGAGGAAGAAATAAATATTCCTTTAAGCTCATTCAACCGGTAAAAAAAAAATGGTTATATTTTTAACCTGTTTACAGGCGACATAGGGGTCATATTAAGCTGGAAATTTTCTTGAAATCCTCAATTAGAGTGTCATTTTTCAACTCGACAAATGATCATACAATACCCCTTTGAATATGAAGTAATATTACCAGGCTTTAAAAATAACATAACAACAACAAGTAGAAGTAAATCAATTGATCTATGTACTCACCTATTTTTCTGTTCTTTCCCTTCAAACAATTCTAGAACAGTGATTTCATTTCGCCGAAGTCTCTGATTCCAATATTGATACTGAAACAAGAAGATTGAGGTTAAAATATAATTAAAACAAGACTGCATCTCCAATATACCTCTGCCTACATTCAGTACATTCATTGTAAGCAATTTCTACTACATGCACATATTGTACAATTTCCAAAATTGTGTTTTAACAATGCTGTATCATATGACCTGTCTTCAAACTCAGCTTACTTAACCTCCCTCTTATGCTTCATACCAGACGATTTACATCCAACAAATGGATTTTATGAGACTGATTCATGTACAAGACTAAGAAAACCTCAGTAATGTCATTGATTGACCTTTATCTTTGTGATGTTTGTCCTTACACCTATTTAACAGGAGATCTTTAATGGTAGTCTACCTCTCTATCAGGTGATACATACTAGTACCATGTTTGAAGTTCATGCCTCAAAGATTCTATAACGTATGGAGATTAATGAGGCTAATGATTTCATGACATTTCCAGACGTATTAGGTAGACGTACAAGGGTGGGGGGGGGGGGATCTTTATAAAATAAACTGTCTGAGAGTGCAAGCAAATGAACAGATTTTTCTTCATAATGCAAGCCACGTTTGTAATTCAACACAACCTAGTTTTCAGTATGCACAATATGAACAGAACGTTGTGCTTTATGATCTTGGAAGAAAAAAAAAATCCACAGATATATTGCAGCTAAGGTATTGTGAAAAAATAACAACTAAAAAGTGCAAACAAATGAACTGATTCTTCTTCATAATGGTATATAAAGATGGTTGCAAGACACATTGGTAACTCACCACAACCCAGTTTTCAGTATGCACTATGTGAACAGGGCCTTGTACTTTCTTATGATCTGCACTGAAGATAATGGCCCCAGTAATCATATCAATCAGATAGACGCTAACGTGAGCTGGAAATACAAGAATAATATGAACACAACATCAGCATTCATGTCTTGAAGTGTAGCAATCACCAAAAATAAACTTTCTATGTACATGTATGTTTGAGGTTCCACGTCGCTATATTACATGTATATGCAAGATATGAGCTTCAAATAGTTCTTAGATTAAGAAATATTGCAAGTTTAATAAAAAAATTCAATCAACATAAAAGCAACTTGACAATAGACTTGAGAATAGATGTGTCGATGCACCGGTTGCGCTCGCATAGAATAAGACCCTCACGGAACTCAAGTCAATCTTGGGATTTAATACATTCTAGCTGTACACAAATCATTTATATGTGACTGGTACACTCTAAAGAGTAGCAGGTTTTTGGTAAAGATGAATGATAACTTGTGAGCTTCCTCATTCCTAGTATGTCAGTTTGGAAGAATATCAAATGTCACCTGGAAAGGAATGTTCTTCCAATGTCCTCATATTAAAAATGTAAGAAGTTACTGAGAAGCTTAGACCACATTTTACTTCAAATTCAAATTCATTATGCAATGTGTCAAGCACACAATTCTCTCTTCAAATCCTTGTTATATCTTATATCTTGGTTGTGATTAATACTCACGTTTACTTCCAATTTCTTCTCCTTCAGTGACGACAGCAACCAGGTTAGGATTGAGATACTTGTAGAGGACAGACCGGTCCCCAAGCACTCGGCCCTGGGAATGCACATGTTCTGTATGGAAGAAGAAGACGACTATTATTACTACTGCTACTGCTGCTACCGCTACCATGCTACTGCAGACCGATACTACTACAACTACTACTACTGCTGCTACTACTATTATTATTACTACTGTTACTGCTGCTACCGCTACCATGCTACCGCATACCGCTACTACTACAAATACTACAATCACTGCTGCCAATACCACTACTACCACTACCATGACCACCACTACCTTTTGTTTTTTTACTGATATAACAAGACTCCTGATATAACAAGGTAATTTTCATGGTCCCAAGGACCTCATTATAACCGGGTTCCACTGTACACTTATGTACGAGTTACCAATTTGAGATATAGACTCAATAAAAATTCCTATTACCATCATGCGTTGCTAAAATGTAATTTCCCATATATTTGTTAGCCCTCTATGTTTTGTTTCACTCATAAGCAAATTACCATTAAGGTTTAGAGACGCCATTTAGAATTGATCAGAGGGCCGGAAAATCACCTAGAATTAGCCATTTTGTACACAAAAAAGCCTAAACTATGGTTTGAAAATAACTCGCCAGGGCCTCAATTCAGGCTATTGCCTAAAAACAGCCATCCCTGAAGATTGGGTTTCTCAATGAAACTAAGAAATTGTGATGACTAACTTACCAATATACCTCTTCCCAACCACATGGGTGATCTTTTGGAGGGAGGTTGGGAGCTGGACATCCCACACGACCTCTGCTTCGAGGTCAGAGGTCGCGATCCCTGAGCTAGGTGCCAGTCTGTAGCCAGCGAGTTTGCCGGAGTCCGTGTCTGCAGTGAAGAGATAGATGCTGGAGGAATGCTCCTGTACTAGTGAAGCAGCGGACGATGGGACAACATGCACCTAATGAGAAAGAATAGGAAGTATGGGAAGATTTCAATTCTGGTAAAGGTGATACGAGCTTCCTCGTTCTTTTATGACATTTTGGAAGAATATCATGGCAGAAATGAACCCTAAAACTTATTGTATTTCAAAATCCTTCCTAACAATGGACAAGTAAATACAAAGAAGTCATACTTTAGCCCAAGGGTCTTAACAATATCTTAGCATACTCCTCAACCCTGTGCTAAAATAGTAATCAGTGTCCAGATAGACCACAACCTTATGGCTATGCATAATCATAAGGTCATTCCTTAGCCCCAAACCATAACCTTAAGGCAATATATCTAAACCTTAATTCTAGACTGTGTACTTATACTGTAAATTGTAATTAGAGTCAAATTAAAGCATACCCCTCACGGTCATACGCAAGCTCGAATCACACATTTAACTGAAGACTATACTATAAGCGGGGTAAAGCCCAATGTCTTAGCCTTTACCTTAAGGTCATACATCTTAGCCTTATGCCTCAAACATGTACTTACATTGTACTCGGTGTCCAGATAGAGCATGACCTTAAGGAACTGGTCAGTCATGAGGTTAAGCATGGTGACCTGCTTGACCTTGTACGGTAGCTCGGTCCCCAGTGAGCTGCTGTCGGATGTAGGCTTACCAGTGATGGGGTTAAAGGTGAAGGAAATAGCCTGGCCAGTCATCTAAACAAACAAGACATGAATGAAATGAATGATAGTCAGATATATGGACAATGATGCTTGTAACCCAGTAAGGAAAAGGCTTATGAGATACCATAATTATACAAATACTGATTGCTTTGAGGGGCACGGTTCACACTTAATAATAATAATAATAATAATAATAATATGTCTTGTTTAGCCAGGGTAGCCTCATCAGTATTCATACTGTTCTTCCTGAGGGCCCTGCAATCAAAATATTACCCCGGTCATCGGATCCAGGCTTACCCGCAAACAATGTATGCACATTCTCCACTCCCTGGGAAGCATTCCAGCCAGGCGTCATTCTTACATGCGCACACTTGCTAATCTAAGCACATTAGCTTTCGCATCCTACTTATTGCCTAAGGTGATGTTTAAATTGTACTGTGCCCCTCACCTTTGTCTTGGGGCTTTGTACAGTTCTGAGATCACCGAAAAGCACTAGTTTAATCGTGACCCCCAAAACTTGGCAGTTAATATTTGTGTTATATACCAAATCACCCTATGTAGACTCTAGTAAAAAAGATATTTTGACAAAATATGTCACCCAAAATGTTTTCATTTTTAGGGAGATTCACCAGTCTAAAAGAATGTGCATATCCACTGCGTGTATCCATTGTTAACTTCATGCGCATATATACTGCGTACTTGCAAAGAATCTAATTTCAGATTTAGATGATTATAATTTGTTCAAATTGGCAACAATATAAAATTAAAGTTTACATCAAATTTTGATTGAATTAAAAAAATTGCTGCTACTCCAAATGAAATTAATGAATAGAACGGTTTACTAACATATTCAAATTTCATGCATACCTCTTTACGCAAGGTTGTTCTTGACAACCTGAAAATGGCCTGAATATTGTCTGACATAGCGACGCAGAATGTATAAAGACTGGATTGTAGTTCATTCATTATTAACAGGTCAATGGAATACCTTGTCACTAGGTCCCCAGGAAACAAACATCCATTAAGTTGAATATATTGTTCAACCATTAAGTTGAATATATTGTACGCTGGTCTATTAGTTTGTTTTGCTATTAGTGTCAAAGATGAATTACCATGTTCTTTCCAACCAGGTTGCACTGAGGTGGGTTGGGAAAGTGAGCTGTGGTTCTCTGAACGAACAGGGGCATGGAGAGTTTGCCTGAGGTTTCAAATGGTGCTAGGTTGGGAAGGAAATGATCCCACACGATGGTTCCATCCTTGGAATCCAGACCAAATATCTGAAAAATCAACATTCGAAATAAACATTAAGAGACAATGGCCATACTAATTCAGTAGACCAGACCCTGGGTCTAAAATCACATTTGATAAAGGAAAACCCAGACCTCAGACTATCTCCCTTAGTTAAACCCAGCATTAAAGGGCAATCCAACCCATGTAATAAGTTGATTTGTATGAAAGCAGACAAATAACAGAATCAGAATGGCAAAAGTTTGAAATGAATTGAAACAATAGTAAGGAAGTTATGAATGTTTGATATATAAGATCACTAAGTCTATGCGAATCTCAAATTGGTAGCTCGGTCAGTGCATTGAAACGTAGGATGTGGATAATTCTCCCATTTGCTGTGTACAAAAAAATCATTAATTTCTGTTTTTCTCGTAACTTCCTTCTCCCTTGGGGCACTACTCATCATAGGTCCTCTAAAAAAAATAAGACCCTCCTGAGCAATGAATTTTTGAAAAATTTAAATGTTAGTCATTTTATATGTTGGAACAGATGGGAAAGTAGTCCGGCACTACATCACATTGAAATTACTGCTTTAGTCAATCTGAAGTGCCCATACATATATTGATTACAACTTTCAAAAATTCATAACCTTCATATATTTAGTTAAACCTTAATCCATTTTCTTCTCTGATTTGTCTGCTTTCTTTTAGGGTAGCTGTCTTTTTGGGTTGGATTTCCCTTTAAAATATTGGGAAAGTGTGGACCAACGATAGACAGATAAGGGTTCAGCATCAAAGTACATTACACAATCAGTCACAATAATAAATTAAGATTAAAAGTGATTGCTTGAAACAATGAAGCAATTAAGCAAATCTTACCTTGCCAGACTTTGTAGCGATCACAACAACTTTGTGTAGATTGAATTCATCCCTGGTGAGATAGTCTTCGTCATCGTCTTCCTCATTGTCGTCCTCATTGAGTAACCTCTGACTGGCGTGAGTGATGGCAGCATCAACCTTGTGATCTCCGGTATGAGAGTCATGGAGATTCTCTATCTTCTTCTTCAAGTGGGTTACGTAAGACTGGAGAGCAAACAATACATCAAAGATATTACTGAAAAAATTCACAGAATTATTCATTCTCTTTTCTAGTAGCCTTACCAAAACCATGCTAATATGCTATGAAGAACATTATAAACCTCCAAACCTTATCTGTGAAATGATAAGGAAAAGGAGCACAAGACCCTGTGATCTCTGGTATGGGAGTAAAAGAGATTCTCAATCTTCTTCTTCAAGTCCATTACATAGGAAGAGATGAGAAACATCAGAACAGTCATCCTACTGTAATAGTGCACACTACTGACCTTAAAACCATCCCACAACTTTTCTTTTTAGGCAGTGTTGGGCAGGGGTGTAACTAGATTAATTCTTTTGGTAGGGTAGGGAGTGCTCTCACTGAATTTCCAAAACATTTAATGAAATGATCGCCTAGACATTGTTTACAAGCTCAATACAAGCCATGGGCAAGACTTGAATCCAGAATTCACCATCATCTGTACCAATGGACTGTGAGTGAAAGACTATCATGGATGTTGAGTCTGAAACCAATCTTACAAATTCTGCAATTTCCTCCATTTTCCTCTATAAAATTGAAGTCCCATTTTCTGTTGGCTTTAACCCTTAAAAAGGCTGAACTATTTTGGTGGATCCCCCATCTCCTGGTAGCTTGAACGTGGCATCATGAAAATGCTGAAACTTGGCACACAGGTAAGGAATCTTCTAATGTATAAGCCTCTGAAATTTCATATCTATATCACAAAACGTTTTGGAATTATCGCTAATTAATTACTCACACGGTTGTATATTGACGATTCAGAATTATTGTATTCAATACAAACACCGCTAATGACCGTGAGTCAAAATTGTATAAAATTTGATATTTAAACATGCAAGAATCTGGCCATAAAGTTTTGACAGCTTATTGGTAAGAAAGACCTGAATAAGGTATCTCACCTGAAACTGGGCGAACTGTGTAGCAAGCCTCTTGGCGAACATGTTGAAAATATTCTCTGTGAGCAAGAGGAAAAGAGAAACAAAAGTGAGTTCAACAATCTAGAGATATATCAGTCACAAACTAACTTAAGAAAAGCTGACTGGTTCGACCGTATGCAGTGAAGTTTGAGAATAATAGTCAAACATAAACTTTAAAGAGTCAAAGTTTGAATTTTGCTATGGTGTTGCCCTGTTGAATCAATCATAAGATACATGTTTCATCCCAGGCATTGTTCCATGAAATAGCCATTAGCACAAGTTTGCGGGCATTCCACTGAAATGTGTGTTCCTTTCAATATATATTTTATTTGTTGTACACAAATTACTATTTTAGGTGATTGGTATAGAGTTTCAAGAAAATGTTTCCTCAATAATAGCCTAAGAACAAATTTCTAAAGTGACTCTTGACTAGAGACTCGTGTTTACTTACCTCCTTGCTTTCCTCCGAACTCATCCTCAAACCTTGCTTCTGTATCTGAGACGGGTAGATCTACCAGCTCGATTGAAACAGCACTGGCTAGAGACTCGTCCCTCAGCCACAGGACCTCTTTCTCACCTGCAAGAGAGAAGATTGTTCCTTAAAATACAGTTTACTTTGCATAACCTGGGGGGTATTTCATAAAGCTGTGCGTAAAGTTTCAAATGACTTTACAAATTATTTGAATATGAAGAGCCAAATGGGTTTTTCCTGTCATTTTAACAAAGTGTGACTGTATTTCCCATAATCTCAATTAATTGTAGCCAAAAATACACTTTGCATTAAAATGTTTTGTTAGTAATGATAAGGTTAATCTACATTTGCATATTTAAACTTTAGCTTATCTAATTAAAAGGATTTGAGAATCCTATTTAGCTCTTCATATTCAAGTCATACATAACTTTACGCACAGCTTCATGAAACACCCCCCTGAAGACCAAACTATGCAAAACATGTTATTTACACTTCCTAAGTTGAAATCAGTATTTTTTGCAGTCCAAACAGATTAACTTATGCAGAGTTAAATGTATATACATAAATGATCCGCACACATCATTAATACAGTCCCTTGAAAACGATTTCTCATAGAAACATGTACTAAAGGAACCTGTTTACAAAGACCACCTGCCAATAACGACCACTTTTGTCTCCCTTGGGTGGTCTTTATAGATAGGTTACACTGTACTAACAAAAATGGATGGATCTGCTGCATGCATAATTTCTGCCAGGCCCCTTGTATTAGTTGAAAGGGCACCCTGCTTAAAATTAATAATTGTTATTGTCAAAACTGAATTCTTCATTTGTTTGAGGATGGATTGTGTTTTGAAGGAATAACGATGCATTTTGCAACATTTCACTTTTGACTTGGCCCCATATCCAGGTGTACTGCCAAGTCCATGCAAATATAATCATTGCAAATGGGGAATTTTTGTAAGGAGGAATAAACAGGATTTTCAATTATACCAAGATCAAATATGATAATATAGTAAAAGAGAGATATCAACACCAGGGTTGGGCGGTAAATACCGGTGGCGGTAATTACCGGCGGTAAATACCGGAAAATACCGTCCGGTAAATAAGATGCGCGTCCAGTAAATATGTAAAAAACAGGAAATATGATTGTAATTCTCTATTTATTAATAATTTTACTTGTTTTTAGCCTCATAACTGAAAATATTGTTCTGAAATAATTAGCAGCACACTACTCATAGTAGGAAACACAAACACAAACAGATTTATAAAATCCTCACTGCATATAAAATTGTACACTACCAAACAAATGGCATTTTGTGCATATGCTAATTAATATGTATTCATGAATATGGTAATTAGCAACTGGGAACCAAAACCTTCATACAAGTTACTTTTATTGTAAAGTTTAAGATATTTGAATAAAATCAGTGAAAATTTGAACAAAATCGGGCAAGGAATAAGGAAGTTAAAGCTTTTTAAATTGACTAGTCACTAGAGGGCAATATTCAATTTGATGACATCATTTGTGGACAACTCTCCATGCCTTTTGTACATCAAATTTCATGTTTTTCCTTCTTTCTTGTGATTGAGATAATAGAATGCAAAATGACATTCTACTTCACATGTTATGAGATCCGATCAAGAACACAAATAAATAGGAAAAAAACGAAAGACTTGTGAAATTTGATGTACAAAAGGCATGGAGAGTAGTCCAGTACCGGTAAATACCGCTTGTTTCCCGGCGTCTGGGAAATAAGCCTCCGAAGTGGGAAATATGCCAACCCTGATCAACACTCAAAACACAAATTGCAGAACTATTTAGAGGGGTTTATTCATGAGCAAATATGATGTCAAAGTGATATTCTTATTTGACTGCCTAACTAACTAATGTTTAAACACTGGATATTGAGTATGCTCTCATTGAATGGAACAATATGTGCATGTTTTAGTTGTTAGGGCAGCCATCTTGGAATTGAGAGGTATCTAGGATCCTATCGGAAAAATACACACAAACAGACACTTACCGCCAACAACCAATGAGATCGCTTCATCTGCCGTCTTGATAAAGACCCTCCCACTGATAGTTTTATCTCGAAGCTCATAAATGTCAACACATATCTATTGTAGGAGAAAAGAGATGAAAAATAGAAACATTTTTACTTAAAGGCCCACTGCACTACTTGCAGCTACTTGCGCCCTCTATATAACAAACAATGCCTAATCGGTGACCATTGCTCCCCCATGATCCTCTTTTTCTTATGTTAACTGAGAGCTGAGTTGATGAGATAACCACCTGTCCAGTGACCTTGCAGGGCAGTCTAATCCCTCCTATAAACTACGGCAGATAAGCTTTAATCTACAGTCAATATCAATGGATTGGAAAAAACGGCTCCCACTTGCAAAGACAAGGAAAAACAGCCATACGTTGTAGATTTAGTTAAATTGGCCATTCATTGTAAGTGAAATCATATCATGTATTATGCTACATTCATGATTAAGGATATAAGCACAAAAATTTTTCTTTTTTAGGTGGTCTGTCGTTTTCGACAGATCACCTATTGTTTTCGTCAGAATTTTCTTTATTATTATTATTTATTTATTCTTTATTTTTATTTATTTCCTACACTTTTTTGTGCCTAGGATAACTCAAGTTCGGTTTTGTCAATTTCATTCAATTTTGGCACAGTCATAGGTCATTGTCATGAGACGTGACAGGAACATTTTCAAGGTCATCAGGTCATCGTGACGTCATCCAGGCGCCATTTTGTGAAATCCCATTATCCATCATATCTTCATGATGCATAAGCAAAGGTCATTCATATTCATATCACATATACTTCAGGTCAAGGGTCAACAAGTCATGTCATCAAAGGTCACATAAAGGTCATGACGCGCACATACGCGCGCGTCAAAATTCTAAAATGCTCAAAATCACTTAACTATTAAACGAGAGTACGAATCAGGTCATTTTAAGCATTTCAAAATTTTCCGTCCGTACGTGTCCCCGCGCACGTTGTGCGCGCTCACAACGCGCGGAAAAGGTCAAATTCAAAATGTTTACATGATTTAGATTCCTCTTACCGTATATGACAATTTACATTAATTTCAGTCACTCTTGACCTTTCATAAGGCCGTGAGCGCGCGTCAAAGTTCAAAATCCGCGCGTGCTGCTATGGGAAATATAATGCAAATTTGATCAAATACATGCCATTTTAAAAATCGAAATAGCTCTTCACATAGTCAATTGACCCCCAACTTTTATATCATGGTTGGAAAAAGCAGGAGTTGGAGATATGATTTCATGTCTCATTTTACCCTCAATTAACTCATGACGTCATCATAATGGCCTCCAAACTCAAAATTTCATTGCATATTATGACGTCAGCATATTTACGAAAAATTGATTGTATCTATGTAAATATTGATCGATTTTCTTTCAAATTTTGATATGTTTTAGCTGAGACAATTCTCTACAAATGCAGTCATCACAAATTTTCATTTTGACGAAAGCATCATGGCGTATTTTTGCGATTAAAGGAAGCATGTCTATTTTTCACATTTGGGTGTATTCTCTATGGGACATGACTTTTTCTCAAAACTGGATTCTACATTCCCGTCTTTCACGAGCAGCATTTCCGTCATTTTTGCTGAGCTTCGAGTATGTTGTAGCTGTGACAATAAGCTATCACAAGTGTGCCCTTTATTTCTCGATCAGATGCCGGGATCATGCTCATATTTCACTTGCAAAGTGGGATTTCAGAATTTCATTTTCCGTTTACATGTAATCGCACAATGGGAAATGTTTTGGTATATCGGTAACGCACGTGACTTCCGACCTCGAGGTCCCTGGTTCGAGTCCGGGCGTCTCCAACAATTTTTTTCTTCACTTTTTTTCTTCTTTTTGACCTTTCACTGATCATAAGAATTGAAGACAGACCACCTAATTCGTCCCCATGAAGAATTAAATTTCTAGTTTCTTTTTCTTCTTCTTTTTATCATCGATACCTGAAATATATTTTGCACTTGCATCTTTTGTTCCCAATGAAACTGCATGCAACCATGCTTACCAGGATTTCCTTTTTCCTCAATTGTCATATTTTACCCTTATTTACCTTTTACCGTAATTTTATTCAACATGTCTTATTGATTTTAATGCCTATTTCTTGATCAGCCTATGCGGTTGCTTTAATTCTATTTATGATACTCTAATAATGTTTTTAATGCGCATCTTGATATGGCATTGTAATCATAAACTTTCGCAATTTGGCCTTGCGGCCGCGAGGAAAGTATATTAATAAACCATTTTGAATGAATGAATGATTAATTTCGCTGCGAACGCTACAAAATCCCACCTCATTGTTCTTACCTGATCTGCCAATCCATGGCTGCCTGGCAGGACAACATCATTACTGTAGAGCTCTTCAGCTCCTTCTTCCAAGTACGAGGATCGTAACTCAATCACCTGCAAAATAAATTGTGATCAAGCAAACTGACCGAGATAAAATACCAGGCAGCGTTGCACGAAACCATCGTAAAATTCACTGACATCCCATTGAAAATCGTGTATTGTAATCAACACATTTCAATGGGATGTCGGTGAACTTGTTGCTAATGATGGATTTTTTTAAACAATGCCCTAGTCTTTTCTTCTGTTGGGCAGAGAATATTTCTTTGAAATCCTATTCAGGTGATCATGATCGAACGCCTAAAAAAAGCTTTTTTGGAAAATGAAAAATATGTTATTTGTAAATGAATGACAAGTGAGTGTTAACAAAAAGATGAAAAACAAAATAAAAACATCTGCAACAACCGCCCCCTCTACACATATTCCCCCCCCCCCCTTGTGTTTATTACTGTCATTGGGTTTTGCCACATTACTATTTTTAACATTTCTATAACCATACCGGGTGTGGGCAAAGCTTGAGTAGTATGAACTCACCTCGTTGTTGCTACTAGCTGTATTGATTGCGTATCTCTCCCCTACCACGGTACCGCTCACAGCTGTAACCTAATCGGAGATAAACAGTGTAAGGTGCGAGGCAATGTGGTTTGAGGCATGCCAAGGTATAGGTGACAGTGGGGCTCTTAACACATGTAAATCAACTGCACATTTGAAATAACGATTCTGATTGGTTAATAGTCAGCCTTGTTAACAATGTGTGCATGCCATAATGATCTTGATTGGCCATTACCATTTTGCAACTGATTGCAAACCTTTGTGTTTCAGGGCCTGGGTCGTATATTGATGTGGCTTTGAAGAGAAGGTTGAGTTGTGGTAAAGATGAAGAATTATTTGTGAGGTTTCTCATTCTTTACATGTCACTTTGAAAATATATGGTAGAAATGTCCCTTGATAAAGTCTTCAAATACACAATAATATTATTTTTCTGTAACAAGGGCAATCTATCTTTACAAGGAAATGAAGGATGAAAGAGTAACATACCTTGGGTAGGTCTTTATAGAGAAGGACGTTTTGACCTTTGACCTCCAGCAATGCATGATGGTCACTGCTTAACTGAAGGATGAACACAGACGGTCCTGAGGCTGACGGGAAGAGTTCACTGATAGAGAGTTTCTGCTCTGAAAGTTGCACCAGACCTAACCCCTGTAAAATTAAACATTTTTAGACAGTCTTCATAAAAGGGCAAATTTATGACTACTATATGTGCATGAGCACTTAACCCTTACTGTACTGGGCTATTTTGAGCACCTCCTGACTGGGGGGGGGGGGGGGGGGGGGGGGCCTGGGAGGCCCCCCCCCCTATGATCTCGGCCGTCGGATGTCCGATGAACACGAAAATTTGCATGTTTGTAGATATTTACGTAACGAACAAGATGGTGTAATTAGTTTTTTGCGAATATGCAAATTTTTGTCGTTATAGCCTAATTAATTATGCAAAATGCTAATTTTATGCATTTTACAGAAAACGTGTCAAACTTCACTTTTTGAACGTTGAAACTCATTATTCATATGAAACTTCTTTTCTAACACAAAATATTTATTTGGATGTAATTAATAATGATAATTTATGCAAATTTGATGGGATTTTCAAATATTTATTTTCTTATGTATTTTATTGTTTTTTTTATTTCTTATTATATCTATTGTTTTTATTTCTTATGTATTCTTTTGTTCTGGAATACATCAAGTTACTTTGAGAAACATATAAAAGCAATTCGATATCAATTCATATCACCCACTTAGGAAGGAATACATCTAAACCTGTATTCACATTTCTGCTTGTACATGAATATATGCAATTATAGCATATTTTTGATGACATGCGCATACTAATTGTTATGTAACACCTCACAGGTATATCCGATTGCGACGAAAATGGTATCAAAACGTGCGTAAGACTTGAGGGAAAAAAGTCATGAAACGACAATTCAAAATTTCAAGCGGTTGCGGCGCAATCTCCGAAAATGTCGAGGGGGGGGGCCTCCCAGGCCCCCCCCCAGTACAGTAAGGGTTAAACATTATTTGTAATAAGCACAGGATCTGTGGGATATGCTGTCATAGTTGTGTGTATGCCGGTAGGATTCTTGAGATATCATGATAATGAGGTTTTAAAAAAAATGGCTTTAATGGAAAAGTGACCTCTAAGATCTGTGACCCCATAATCTTATCATTTTTTGTCTCCCTATGGCAACACATACTATCATCAACTTTAAGGTTCATCGCACAAATGCTTTTAGAGATATCATGATAATGAGAAAGCAGGACTGACAGCCAAACAACCTGAAGACATAATACCTCCATCATCACCTTTGGTGGGCACAGGCATACAAATCTACAGCTTTCTTACTTGCTTTGAATAACTCTAATAATTATGTTTCAAAACATGCAAGAATTTTGGTAGCTTATATCAATTATTGGAACTTGTCAGTGATTACAGGTTTTCGGAACCAGGGTCCAGATTAAATTTTCCTTTAATTTCATCTATTTCAATTATTAATTTTCTCCAAACCAGTTACACACACATGTATGTAAATCTATAGAAAATACAAATGAAGACATAGAGGAGCACACTAGTAATTGACAAAAGGGTGAAATACTGAGTCAACTAGTGTATGGATGGGGAAAAAAACAAATGCAAAGGTAGCTTCTTACTGTTAATCCCGAGAACAATAATCATATCACATTGTAATGTTTACTTACAGCTGGAGATGTCGCTGAGAAGCTGCTCTGCTCACCAATGGTAAGATACTGCAAGGTACCAGAGGAGGGCTCTGAACATACAAAATGGCCGCCGGAGACGACGATACAGTTGGGTGCTCTGCTTGCCCACACTGCTGAGACGGGAGTCTGAAAGAAAGGAAGTAAGAATGGATTGCATTCATCAGGGGTGGATCCAGGATTTTCACGGTAGGACGCAGTTAGACCTTGATGAAGAACTAAATTAACAAAAATAAATATTGAAAAATCTTATACTATATTCCTTGAAGTACAAAGGCACTGTGCAACCTTCTACTCTCAAATTACAGTCATATTTTGGTATTTATGCTTCATTTCCCAGCACAGTGTTAACAAAAAAACCCACAATAATGCTTGCATAGTTTACAACGCAATTTGAAAGAGTGGAATGGATGAATCATACACATACGTACATGAGCATGTTCTCATACAGCAAATGCATATATGTGACAGCCACAGAGATGAAATAATTGAGAATAGAGTACATCAATTACAGCATGTCCAATATACAGCATACATGTAGCTACTACTACTCATAACTCAACAGACTCGTACTTATTACAACTTCTTTTTAATCATAACATTACACAGAAGGAACATACCTGATTGATAAGATCTCCGCTTTGTGCATCAAGCGCTGCAATAACAAAGTGCGAGCCTTCGACCACACCAATGACGTATACAGGAGAATCAGGTTCATCCTTGCTGAAGTGTGTCCACTGGAAGTCTAATGACTCACTGTACAGACAAGAAGAAGGAGAAAACAAAGAAAGATATTTTATATGTCTGTGGGTTCAGACAGGATGTTTGAGACACATTGCTACAACAATTGCTACATGGTAAATATCAAAAACTTTTACCAAATTCAACCCTGGCGAAACGCTATTGATTGATTGAAAATGGTTTATTAAACAGGATACATAGCAGCCCGAAAGCTGAAATGCATATTTATTCTTAATAAAATAGCAGTAGAATTGCATTTGAACTTACAAAAATATACATTAATCTCAATAATTTGAAAGCATAACATACAGTAGTTCGAGTCAGTACATTATAAGATGAATCATCCTAGGGATGTTGTTGTGTCACACTGAAGGAGGGAGAAGAGAGAGAGATATATACATGTATATATATATATATATATATACAGGACACAAGGTAGATAAATAAAAACACCGGAGAAGTGAATATTCCACTGACGTTTCGAGCATAGCCCTTTATCGAAGTGATTCAAGCATAAACAACAATATACAAAATCAAAAATATATAGGCGACGCTTGGTAGTCAAGATGCAAAGGCGCGTGAGAGTACGCGAAAGAAGAGAAAAAGAGATAGAGAAACGTCACAAAGCTCAAAAGTTGGACCATTGTGACGTGAGAAAATAGGAGAAAATTAGAAATATAGGGAGCGTTAGAAGAGCGTATCTCCAGGGGAGATACGCGGAAAGCAAAAGAAAAGGAAAAGAAGAGGCGCACAGAAAGAAAAATAAGCAATTGAAAAAGCATTATGACGTAATAAAGATATTAAAGTTCAACAAAGTTCAGTGTGAGTTAGGGAAAGATCTGAAAGTGGCGTTCATCCCGTCCGGGTGGAGAGTGCCAAGTTTGAAGATTATCCTCTCCTCCATCAGCTTCCTTTCTTTCTCATCTCGGCAAGATTTCAGCACACATACTTGAAGGTCATCAGCATTATGATCTCCGATGTTGAAGTGGTGAGCTACAGGTAGTCCGGCTGTCTTCAGGCGTATGGAACGCAGATGCTCCGTGATTCTATCGGCTAGGCGTCTCTTTGTCTCCCCGATGTACACCATGGAACAGCGGGTACATGTCAATCCGTAAATGACATTAGTGGTGGTACATGTGAATTCTCCTCTGATATGCCAAGTTCCTCTGGGGCCCACCACATCATGGGATGAGACATGGGCGCAGGTCTTGCAACGAGGACGCTTACACCGAGTGGTACCAGGATTAGTGATGCTGTGGGGTATCTGACTGGGAAGTCTTGAGCAGACAAGTTCGTTTTTGATGTTCTTCCCCCTCCGGTACGCCATGATGAATGGGTTGGTCCCAAATACACTAAGAGTCGTCTCGTCAGCCCGGAGGATGTTGATGTTTTCACAGCAATTCGCTGAGATGTATGGTTGTACGAGAGTACAAGAGGGGTGCGGGAATTAGAATCCTTACGTCTCTTAGTCAGAGCGTCATGTTGTGTGATTCGGCTAGCCTTCATCATTCCCCCTTCGACGATCTTGTCGGGATAGCCTCTGTCAGAGAAGAAAGTTCTCATCTCCTTCGCTCTTGACTTGAAATTAGTGTCGTCGCTGCAAATTCGTCTTAGTCTCAGAAATTGTGAAAAGGGGATGGCCTTCTTACATGATGGGGGATGACAAGAGTCGAACCTGAGATATGAATGCGAGTCCGTAGGCTTGTAGTGAATATCAGTCGCAAGAGTGTCACCCTCCACACTGACTGTAACATCAAGAAATGTTATAGACTCATCTGAGATGTCATGAGTGAAACGCAGTGATCGATGATAACTATTCACGTACTGGATGAACCTCTCTAGTTCGTCTCTAGTGCTCGTGAACACGCCTATGTAATCGTCGATGTAACGCTTCAGGAGAACCGGTTTAGGATGTTGATAATTCTGTAGCATTTGCTCCTCAGGCCGTACGTGAAAACATCAACATCCTCCGGGCTGACGAGACGACTCTTATGGGGCGTTGCAAGAAAGTTGCGTTGCAATCGATTGCAAATATCAGTTGCAAAATTTGCAACTGATATACAAACGCAACTTGCAATCAATTGCTACTTTCTGTTGCAAGAAGCTACTAGCAATCAAATGCAAGTTGCAACTGATTTGCAACTGATCGGCGTTATTTTGTATTTGTGAAAACGACTGGATGGCCGAGCCTAGCAAATTTCTCAATTTTTATGTGCAGGATCAACTTGCTGGGTTGCTGTCTGCTGCAGATTCTTTCTTTTTTTGACTGTGCCATCATTTTGATTCTGAGCAGGGTAAGTGGAAAAATATTCAATTTCGATCGTATTTGTGCTTAATCATGTATGATTTATAGAAAACTAATATTATTAGCTTATCTCTGGAATAAATTTGTCTTGAAAAAATGGAGAATATTTAGTATATCGCTGGTCGAATTTGGGGGTCGCGAATACTCCTCTGACACTCATTTCCTTAATTATTGTCCCACATGTAGCTATTGGTGTTTTGTTTGCATCTCGCCTTCATTCGCTGCTATTGCAGTGCTAGTTAGATCTAGATCTAGTTGCTGTATTGTGATTGGGGGGGGGGGGGGTTCTTTGCACTTGTAACATTTGACGTGGAATTGAACAAGAAATTCTCTCTCATTCCTCTAATGCTTAATCTTATATTATTCCTGACAGGCTACATCATTAAACTTAAAGTCTGTCAAAGATTATTTAAAATCGGAAAGAACCAGGGCATTTTCAGAAGAAAAGACCATCATTGTCGACAATGGCTAGAGCCAGACTCAAGAATTTCAATGTCATTTTGACACACTGCAAAAAACAAAACTGTGATCAACTCCTGGCAAACTTATGACTATTTCTATGACTATTTCACATTATATACCTCACTTAAGTAATCCAGCCATCTGATTGGTCGAAATTGCATTCATAAACTTGAACTGTTCCTGTAAAATTCCCGGTAACCATGCATAAAACATTTAATATTTTTAATAACCATGGTTATTAAAAAAATAGGTCAGCCTCCATGGTTACCCCATAGGTTTACATGTTAAAAAATGGTTTGAGCGATCGAGGATACCGTATGTGTGCGAAGGATTGGTCGGTAATTTCAATACAATTGAATCTCGATCGATCTTACCGACAATTTTATCTTGCATTGTTGACATGAAGACGAAAATAAACTTCCAAAAACAAAAAAACAACATCTGCCGATAGATCTTGATCTAAGTTCGTGCCAATATGCATTGCAAAAGTAAAAGAAGGGTCCGTTTAATGGAGCTTTTGCGAAGCATTCATCACGCCGAAGCCGGTTTCAATCCATTTTAATGTATATATTGTACAAAACTGCCAAGCACGTGAACACCGCGCGATGGACGAGTGGTGTAAGGCGTAGGTGTAAGATTCATCACTCTTTGTACGCAAGGGTTCGACTCTCACCTTCGACAAAAAAAAAAGTATTTTTTATTTTTTATTTTTTAGTCTATTTTTTTTCGGCATATAAAAGTATTAATGACTGCTTTAATATTCGAGAAATAGTTGTTTTTATACGCTCTCGGGAAGGTTACAATTGGGCTATTCCCCTCGGCACGCCTCGGGTAATAGCACAATTCTAACCTTCCCTTGAGCTTATAAAAACAACTATTTCTCTCAAAGCAGTCATTAATACTATACTATAAATTCTAAATAGAGCCTAGATCTATGTTCACCCAATTGGTAAGCCTATGATCATAACAATCCGAGATCGAGAGATGTGACACTTTTGTGCATTTTTTTGTTTTTTGTTTGTTTGGGGGGGGGGGGGTTGCAATTATCAAATTTTTGAGGGCAAAAAAACACTAGTGCTAACTTCCCCCTTCCCCCTTCCCCCTTCCCCCTTCCACTGATGACCCTTGCAATTAATGTTGTGCTATTAATCTGCTCAGAGCAATGTTATTTTGATATTGAGTACCGGTACTTGCTCTTGAACATTGGCTGGGAGAACCTCCACCTGTAGCTATTTCATATTTTTGCAGGAAATTTTGAACATTTGATAGCTCTTTTCTACATTACAAGATGAGATTTTATTCATTATTTTCCTACAGGGAAAAAAAATGAAATCCCAACTGGATCGAAAGTGAGGTGCTGGGAGTGGGCCTTTGCACTTTTGTTTCCGAGAACCACTCCAGCCTGTATGGTAATACAAGGCCATTGCATGCAAACAGTAAGTATCTACATTGTACCGTACACTTGCAGAGTAAATGCAAGAAATTTATTTAATGTTTACTTTGTGAGATTGTAAACGTATATTCTATCTTTTTCTCATATCTTTTTTTATAATCCAGCAAAAATCAATATCTCTTTACAAAACTTTAATTTGCGTAAGATAGTCTAGACTTATATTTTAAAAGAAAGAGAAGGAAGAGCTGTGAGAAAATTTCATGGCTCGAAATGATCATAGATTCTAGATTATTTTTTTGGAATTAATTGCTATTATTTTAAAGGTACGGGTACTAGATTACAAGATACTTGTGATGCAACAGTGGCTATTGTCATATTTCTCATGCACTTTAATTAAGAACCATGACAAAATTCAACGATAAGTACTTTTCACAATACAGCAAATCTGAACTGCATTTATGCACTAGAATGTTCTTTCTATATCATGTCTGGCAGAGCATGAACCCCTTTCTAAAACTAGGCGTTGTGGCGTGCGCCTGTAATCCAGCTAAAAAAGTGGAAGTTACAAACTGATTCAGCCGAGGACGCAGGTTCGAAACTGAGTCACGTCTTTCGGATGGTGACGTTTAAAGGTCGGTCCCAGACGTAAATAATCATATCTGATTGATACACGTCTGTAAAAACCCAATACACACACACACACACCCTTTCTAAATAAAGTTTATTTCATAAAAAGATATTAAGATGTGCTATACATATAACATGTGAGTTGTGAATGTGAAATACAAAACCATGCTTGATAGTCTATTGTTTAACCCTTCTCCAACCAGGGGGGGGGGGGGGGGGGTCAATCTGAGCCCCCCCCCCCCCCCCCCACCCAAAGTAATTTTGCAAACTCTCCTTAACTGCTGCAAATATCACAATACCCTTTCATGACTTTTTTTCCTGCATCTTTTGGTACCAAATTTGCGAAGATCAGAGAAGACGTGTCACATGACAAATAAAGGTCAAAGGTCATTATGACAATGTGAATTATTCATATGATCATGCTCATTTTTTTAATTCTAAGAATTAAATTCCTGCACTCTTTTACAGGAATAGGGGCAGAGAGACTTGTCGCAGTACAAAATGTCCTGGAGAGAAAAGACCACCACAAGAGAAGGTAAACATATTTACTTGATCCATCTAGTTTTGTCAAGTAAAAGGAAATTTTGAAATGAGTGAGGTCAAGGCCAAGTTGGAGGGGTTGCAAACGGCAGGTTTGAGAATAATCCATTCAGGGAGTGGCTATCTATGCATCAACATACACATGTCTACAAACAAGTTGCTGTTGTGTTAATTTAAAGTGAGTTTTAACTTTCAATATACCTCTTTTTAGAATTAAAACTTGAAGCTCATGTAGAAGGGGGGGGGGGGTGGTCCAATACATGCAAAAGAATGACAAGCAAAAGAAGACAATTATTGACCTTCAAATTTGGTGAAACGGTAAACTTGAAGATGACTAAAATATTAGATAATGCTATGTTATTTGTTTTTTTTTACATATTTGGTAAATATTTATTGAAATGTTTATAATTCTGTTCCAGGGATAAAGAATGAGGGCTTCATGGAGAGAGATCATGGGGTGCCTCGAGGTTCCAAGTCTTCATGTTCTGCCCCTTACCTCAAAGCGATGGCCTCTTGTGCCTAACAATATAGGAGCAAAGCACAGTGGACTGGTAATTCATAATGAATATTACAATGTTTTTAACAAATCTGGGAAAGAAACAGATAAATTCATAGCAAGTGAGTCTATCATGGTATTCTGAGTGACCGGACATTCGCTCCTGCAACGACTGCTCAAGGCTTTATTTCGTCAAAGGTGTGGGGTTAGGCCGAGTGTTGCAATTGGGATTGAGGTCAAGTGTAGGGTTAGGGTTGGGTCTAGTGTTGAATCCAGGGATGAAGTTAAAGCCCATCTGTACTAGTTTGGCCAGGAGGGATTAGAACACCCAGCATGGTCACTGACAGGTGGCTATCTCATCAACTCAGCTCTCAAGTAACATAAGAAAAAGAGGATCATGGGGAACCAACAGGTTCTGCTTAGGCATGGTTTTCTATATAGAGGGAGCAAGTAGCTACAAGTTGTACAGTTGGGCTTTAAGTATTTGGTTAAATATTGTAAAAAATCGATGTGGAGCATTTGTCTCAGGAGCAAGTGTCGTACCATCAGATTTTCCAGTTGCTGGTGGAACTGTATATTGTTTTGTGTGCTCTAACTGCCACATTTCTTCACAGATTTCTTTCAAATTTTGTATGGAAGTGTATCGTGAAATCTACACCCCTATTTTTGTTGGTGATGCTGCCATGTCCACCCCCACCCCCATTGTTGCATCTTTATTGGGTCAGGTCATATTTTTGTGGAAATGTGTGTGTTTTGCAGGCCACATTTCTGTAGACATTTCTTTCAAATTTATTATACTCTAATCTACACACATAATAGTTTTGGTGATGCTGCTCCTAGTCTTGACAATAGTCTGAGTCAATAGTGGCGATCTAAACATCATCTTTTTGTTTCAGGGAGGGAGAAGGGATCTTTGTCCCTCCTTCAAACTTAAGGATGACACAAAAATCGCTGCCAGTGCCAGGGGATACTTTCGCATTGCGCGGGATTGCAGATTGTGATATTTATAGTTATTATTCTACAATGCTTTCATGAACATGTTTTAAAGTAAATTTATTGTATGTCTCTATACAAACAGGTGCCTGTACATGTAATGCAAAGGAAGGGCAGTGTGAGAAGCTCATGATGATATGGCAGACACAACAAGGACTTTGCTGTCTAAAACTCAGAGGCAAGATGACAGTGTCTGAAGTGAGTATCGTAGTAGAGCATGAGCACATCCTTGCCACCTGCAATCCATCTCACTTTCTTTATATTGTTTAAACAACAGTAACCCAAGTTCAAAATTTTGATTAGTGATTAAGAAAGGCAACATAAAATACTACGTCTTCTGATTCATACTCCCATAATAAAGTTGTTTTTTTGTGGGGGGGGGGGGGTAGCCTAGCCATACAAGATCTTATTATCTTATATGACTTTATCCTGGTTGTTCTGGAGATGGTTTTCCCAGAACCTGCAAGTGTGATAAAGAAAAACATATTTGTGTACTAAAAGTAAATAAAAACAAAAACAAATCAATAAAGAAAAACATATTTGTGTACTAAAAGTAAAATAAAAAACAAAAACAAATCAATGGACACTCAAATCAAAATGTGGTTATCACAGCTTAAAGTTAACCCTATTTAAACCGGGTTATTGCAGACCAGGTTTTTACCGGGGGGGGGGGGGGGAGGGGGGAGTCAAGTTGACCCCCCCCCCAACCCCAAACCCCAGATCAAAAAAATTGTTTCAAAAGAAAAAGTAAAGAAAGGAAAAAATTTATATCTGCTGCGGTTCCGGAGTAGTCGGGACTACAGGGGGGAGGAGGGGTCAAATTGACCCCCCCCCCCCCCCCCCCCCCCCCCCCCCCCCCGTGTTACAATAGGGTTAAAGATTAAACAAATTTATTTGGAGTAAATTCTAGGACATTTTATGAATGCTAATCTTAAAACAATGGTCTGAATTTTTATGCCTCCGCTACAAAGTAGCCGGAGGCATTATGTTTTCGGGTTGTCCGTCCGTCCGTCACAAGATCCAAGGTCAAAGGTCACAAGGCTCGTTATGTATGCAAAAATAGCTTGTGAACGCGTTATCTCGAGAACCCATTGATGGATTCCCGCCAAACTTAGGTCATGTATTTATCTTGCAGAGCCAATGAACTGATTAGATTTTGGGGTAACAAGGTCAAATGTCAAAGGTCACAGGGCTCATTATGTATGCAACAATAGCTCGCTTCTGTTTGGTTTGTAAAATTGCTCTATGGCGGAGGCATCATTTTTGACTGGGCGCGGTCAAAGGTCCATCTAGTTGATAAGATCTTTTATTCAGACATGTAGTATATTAGTAATAAAAGGCATGTTTCGAAATATGGCACTTTATTTCAGACCATAATGAGAAGTACTATTTTGATCTGGTATCTGTTGTTGTTCTTAGCATGGAAAATAAGGAATGTACTCTTGTCGAGCAAATAGTGAATTTATATAAAACTAAAAGCCCTTTGAAGATTACTAGAAGAAAACAACACCAAGAAGAAAAACAAAAGAAATATATTTGTGATGTCAGCTTAAGATCTTAAAGTGCTTGTACAATATTGATTTTTTTTTCTTCCTTCTTTCAATTAACATTTGTTTCATTATCAGCCGGCTTATCAGAATTGGTAACATTGATGCAAGCGGACTTGTCTGTAGGAGTTGCTGAAGAGGAGCAGTCAGCATAAGTGGCATGTGACTCCAAAACAACATGGGTACCTCTCCCAAGTTCATTTCTATCCACAAAGGCTCTTCAGAAAACCAAGATGTGACGGTGGAGGTAGAGAAGGAGTTTGTGACCCTCCTGATCCTGATTAATTTTATAAGGAACTTTGTCCGAAAAGAACCTCACTGATCCTCAGAGTTCCATACCTCAAGCTGCCCCTCCCCCTCCCCCTCCCTCCCCCCCCCCCACCCCCTGTTTCTGTAAACCCTAACAATTTAGGGATCAAATGAATTAAAATCCACACTTGATTAGTGATTACAAATGAATTGATCTTTTAACTATTGTCATTATTTCAGAATGGTTTTGGTTACAGGTTAGTGTGAGCTTTCGGAGGGTAAAATTTGAGGGTACTTTGTGCGGAGATCAGTGGATGAACATTTTCATGTACAATGCAAGAGAGGTGTCTATCTTCATTGAAATTCTGATTGTGATTTCCAATGAAGATGGCTGGTTTATAAGGGAAGCAAGAAAGATTGATGTTTTGAATGACATGGATATTCAATAATGAGAAGTTTAGTGAAATGAATGGCAGAATATATTGAATTTGTTCACCAGCCTATGGAAATTTAAAAAAATAGAAGTATTTGAACAAATTTGTACACAGGTCTATGGAAAAACCAGTAAGCAGTTGAAGCTACAAGTAATAGAATCTGATTAACAGGGTTTTTTTCTTCAAAATCTGTACCTTTTTTGGATATTTTTCTCCAAAAAATGAACAAATGGATCTATTTTGTCTGGGACATTCCTCCCACCATCTTCATTCGCAGCCGCCATTTTGAAGAATTGCAATCAACTGCCAATCAGTTGCAAATTTTGCGCTACCTCCAAATTTATTGCAAAGTTGCGCTTGATCTGCGATTAAACGCCAGAGTTGCGTTTAAACGCAACTTTCTTGCAACAGGATTGAACGCAACTGGCGTTTAATCGCAAATTTGCGATTAAACGCCTGAGTTGCGCTTGATTTTGGGGAGATGCGTTTAAACGCAACTTTCTTGCAACGCCCCATTAGTGTATTTGGGGCCAACCCATTCATCACGGCGTACCGGAGGGGGAAGAACATCAAAAACGAACTTGTCTGCTCAAGACTTCCCAGTCAGATACCCCACAGCATCACTAATCCTGGTACCACTCGGTGTAAGCGTCCTCGTTGCAAGACCTGCGCCCATGTCTCATCCCATGATGTGGTGGGCCCCAGAGGAACTTGGCATATCAGAGGAGAATTCACATGTACCACCACTAATGTCATTTACGGATTGACATGTACCCGCTGTTCCATGGTGTACATCGGGGAGACAAAGAGACGCCTAGCCGATAGAATCACGGAGCATCTGCGTTCCATACGCCTGAAGACAGCCGGACTACCTGTAGCTCACCACTTCAACATCGGAGATCATAATGCTGATGACCTTCAAGTATGTGTGCTGAAATCTTGCCGAGATGAGAAAGAAAGGAAGCTGATGGAGGAGAGGATAATCTTCAAACTTGGCACTCTCCACCCGGACGGGATGAACGCCACTTTCAGATCTTTCCCTAACTCACACTGAACTTTGTTGAACTTTAATATCTTTATTACGTCATAATGCTTTTTCAATTGCTTATTTTTCTTTCTGTGCGCCTCTTCTTTTCCTTTTCTTTTGCTTTCCGCGTATCTCCCCTGGAGATACGCTCTTCTAACGCTCCCTATATTTCTAATTTTCTCCTATTTTCTCACGTCACAATGGTCCAACTTTTGAGCTTTGTGACGTTTCTCTATCTCTTTTTCTCTTCTTTCGCGTACTCTCACGCGCCTTTGCATCTTGACTACCAAGCGTCGCCTATATATTTTTGATTTTGTATATTGTTGTTTATGCTTGAATCACTTCGATAAAGGGCTATGCCCGAAACGTCAGTGGAATATTCACTTCTCCGGTGTTTTTATTTATCTACCTTGTGTCCTATTCATTTTATGCACCGACGCAGAACCATTTATTTTTACATTATATATATATATATAGAGAGAGAGAGAGAGAGAGAGAGAGAGAGAGAGAAATAGAGGTAGAGAAAAAGAGAAAGAACGATGAGCACATGAGAGAAAGAGAGAGAGAGATGGAGAAAGAAGAGAGCGATGGCAGAGTGAGAGAGAGAGAGAGATAGTGCGATAACAAAATGAGAGAGAAAAAGAAAGTTTCAACAAGATCTACATTCAATACATTATTAATACCTCAATATAATTCCAACACCAATCCTACATCATTAACAAAATAAAGCCTGCAACAATTGCATACAGTATTTCTGTGTAACCATTGACTTGAACATGGGTTTACTAGCAGTATGTCTACGACGGGGACGTTTCTCACCTGTCCTGATCAGCGTACGTCCAAGCTCTACGTCCCGACTTGAAAGCATAACTGAAGACATGGTTCTTGACTGCTACAATCACATTCTTGGATTCACTGTTGACTTGCATAGCTGTAGCTCCAGAACTGATGAAAGAGATAGAATGGTCAATAAGTAGCTGTCAATTTTTGAAGGATTAATTTATTTAACTAGAGTAGTTACAGAGTGACCTTAGGTGGATGTCCAAGGTACAAGCTAGCCTGACTCAAAATTGTGAACTGTATGGCATTGTTTATGCGATGAATTTTGTGTAAAAAATTCATCAAGTACGTGAAATGAATTTATTGCAAAAGCTTAGATTTGAAATCTATTCCTTGCCAAATTTCAGGCCTTCTCCTGATTGCACATTTATATGTTTTTATGACATGTAGTGCTCTGCCATGTAACTTCTAATACAGAACAAAATTATTTTGATGATTAGTTTAAATTACTTTAAATTAGCATCATAGTATTTGTTGGAAGAACTTTTTGTCATAATAAGCATGATTTTGTCACCTGCTAACGGCTGCTGCTTCAGGGGAAACAGGAGATTCCCATTTCAGGTAGCCAGTGGTTGCGTTCCACAAACGGAGCAGCCGTCCTCGACCTGACAGTGTCACAATACCAGCTGCAAATCAAAGAGAGTCACAAGAGTTAGAATTCAATGAGGGGTCAACAATTTGTATTTTAAATCAGCAAATGTGAAACGCAATGTGATGAACTAATATCAAATACCATTATGAGGACACTAGGTCAGCCAAAGATGTCCCACCCTGATACTCCATAGTTTACAATCTGCTTATAAAGAAGTGTATACATGTAAGTCTCTTTAAAGTGACTCAGTAACATTGCTTCAGATTCTGAAACAAAACCCTGGATTTAGCTCATGCTGCAATGATAATTATAAACCTTGAGGTCAGTCAGGAATCCCATGACTTTTACAAGCTGATCGCCTCTCTGATTATCAAGATATTTATGATTGGAAATCAAAATTTAATAACACAACAGTCTATTGGGGAAAATGAGTATGGTAAAACCAGTCACTCAAAGATCTTTTACTAACCTTTTTGAGGCAATTTAAGTCTTTATGATCATTTTGAAGCGCAATTCTTTTAGGGCTTCAATATTACACTTATCACAGATGCTGAGAACACATAGGGACATGCATCTCAAATTTGGCAATTTTTAACAATCCCTTTAAGGTCAACTGGTGCAAGGTTGACTGTAAGTTTGGACTCATGAATAACTCTATGCTTACCATCAGCAGAGGAGTAGAGCATAGAATTAATGACCCCTTGTTGACCTCTCTGGAGTATATGCCTCCAGTTCAGCTGACCGGCTAGATTGATGCTTGCAAGGACATTGGACTCAGTAGCCACATAGATCTGACGCTTGTGCTTGCTCTGTTCAAAGGCAGAAAACTTGACATTGCCAACATATTGATGCCTCCTATAAGATTAAGAACATAAAAGATAAACATTTAGCATTACAAATTTCAATCACAAGTCTCATCCTCTTACTAAAAGATATTATAAAAAAAAGGAAAGAAGAAAGCCCAGGCCATCCGTAGCAACCTTTATATCAATCATGTCAATAGTGTAAAAAAATGTAAGTGTAAAAAGTGTAAACTAATTGCTATTATTCTAAAGTAAGTATCAAATTGGCAACGCAAAAAAAAATCTATTCATGTAGAGTTAAGGAGGGGGTAATCGACCATCACCAGTTTTCGGCCGATCCGTTGGATGCATGGTAAAATCCTTTTAAATTACATCGCATAACAGTATATCACATATCCCACACGTACCATACCATGCCAGAGTCACTGAAGAACCACATTTGCAATGGAAAATATATCCTAAAATATCACATTTTAGCGATGTAATCGGCGGTCCCGCTACCCGAATCTGAAAAATCGAGTATCTTACTAAAATGACCTTTATTTCAAGTATTTTTCAGATTTAGAGCCCGATTTTGTGTTAGTTGCAAGCTCAGAAGTATCTCACTGGATGTATTAAATCAATGCAGCCGGACATCGCAACGCACACACTATATCTCTGTCTAATTCAGATTCCAATTTCCGATCAACGCAATACTAGTTTTTGGCCTGGCGAGCTCCGGGGAGCTCCGGCGTGGGATACCTGCTCCGCCCACTAGTGCTATAGATTAGTGCGGAAATGCATGGCGCGCGTGCGCGCTTCCTGTTGACCTTTGTACATGCGGCCGAAAACTGGTTCGCTATGCCAATAACTGCCTCCGAAACAGTGAAAATTGAAATGAATATTGTCATGGCAATTCGTGATTTTTTTCTGGGATTCTTCTTTTGTTTAAATAATAATAATATTTGCTTCATGATTTGAACAAAAAATGATAATAAATAGGAAGTAAAGGGTCCAAAAGATAGGATTTTGTCTTAAGTGGCCGAAAACCCCCTCCTTTACTCTACACCTCATTTTCCAATTCTGGCAGAATCAACATTGCAAACTTTTTCACATCGCCAACGTGCCAATCAAAAATATGAAACATCTGGGAAAATGTGGACGATCCTTATTTTTGAGGACGCATCGGTCCGCATTTACAAAGACAATTTTCAATTATGTAGATGATCCTCATTCGGCGCTAGGGTAGTTCCGTATCCATTTTTTAGCAGTTTAATATCCATTCTAAATAGTCTAGATCTAAGGGAATTTTAGACCAATTGTTTACTAACTCTAATCATAATCATATATTGCATATTTCACCTGAATTTGGATCACATCCGACATCGGGAGGCCTCCGTTTAGGGCTTGGATGTCGACGTCGTCGCTGATCAGTACCGTCTCTACGCTAAGCGCTAAAGCTCTGCACCTCAAACTGAAGCTATCAGTCCAAAATTATGCAAACTTTGTGTATGCTTTATGGTATTAAGCACATGCACGATACCATAAACTATACGAGAAGTTTGCATAATTTTAGACTGATAGCTTCAGTTTGAGTTGCAGAGCTATTGCGTAGAGACGGTACTGAGCAACGACGTCGACATCGAAGCCCTAAACGCAGGCACCTAGCCAGAGTTCGATGTTTGGGGGGGGGGCACATACATGTAATCGATCGAGGTAAAAAAGGGGTCTAAAAAAGTTCAACCGATCCTGGAAATTTTTTTTTTGGGGGGGGGCACGTGCCCCCCCCCCCTTTGGCTACGTGCCTTCCTTAACGGAGGCTTCCCGATGTCGGATGTGCATGTGATCCAAATTCAGGTGGAAAATGTGATAGGCCTATATGATTATGATTAAAATAAGTAAAGAATTGGGCTAAAATTCCTTTGCTAAGAATGGATATGAAACTGCTAAAAAAAATGGATATGGAACTACACTAGGCAAATTCATGCAAAAAAATATATTCAAGAAATTGACTCGAAAACACATCAGACAATTAGTCTGAACCGAGTCAGGAGCAAACTTGAAGAAATTATATTTTTAAATGTTGTAAAACCAAAGATATAAGAAGAAAACTGACCAAGTATCTGTACTAAAAATCATACATGTAAAATTGGTCGTAGACATTCGACAGCTGAAAATGACGCGCACGGTTGTGGTACGTGCGTTCTCGAATCCAAAATCGTATCTCACACACACACTCTCGCCATACCGCGAATGGTCCGTCGTGGGGAGCTAGCCGCCCGAGAGTTTGCCAGCGATACCAACGCACCCTCGGAGCTCCGCAGCGCACAATTTTAGCGGAACTCGAAAGGTTCGAGGTGGGAAGGTGGCGGGCTAGCTTTTTGCCAAAACCACGCTAGAACGTCTGCTGGCAAAGTGAAAATAACTACGATCGAGAACATCGTCGGTTTCAGTGAGATAATTCTGAATTCTAATTGAGACTATATAATAAATTATATCGACAAAGAAACCTCGGTAGATCTCTTATAACTATACAAAAGCTTGTTTATTTCTCGTTTTGAAATTTGTCTTCGAGCCATTTTTTCGTGAGCGAGTCAATGCAAACTTTGTATTACCAAACTTTCAACACGCAAGGAACGGGGAACACTCGCGGACCCCGTATCAAATTCGTTGCAAAAAAAAATTTCAAGGGTGATTTTGAAGCAGTGAAGAAAATTTGCGCTGCGATGCGCAGAAATATACTTGAAAGAAACTTAAAAAATCACACCTGAATTTTCAGAAAATCGTATTTGCATTACCGAGCCTAGTTGTGAGTTGTTTATAACTCAGATTTTATGAAGATTTGTCGGAAAAAATGTCATTTTTTTCCGTTTGGTGGTCATTTCTAGGCTAATATTTAAAAAGTTGCATCAGTAATAGGCCCGATGTTTCTCTTATCGTACTCGCATGTTATTTCTACATAGATTAAACATAGGATGGTTAAGGGTAAGACCGGATAACATTATAAAAAAGATATATCCTTCCAACCTCCCATATCCAAGTTTTGGGCTGATTATTGCCGACCCACCGCAGCAAGGCCATTCAGATTTTCGTACGCTCGCGAAGCGCCCTCTAGTGCCCCATGAATTAGACCGAAAACTTCAGTCTCTCTAATCGTCGGTTGTTCCACTGAGACTACGTCTGGCTCCACTAGACCTCCGATTATAGAGACTGAAGATTGTCCTATCGGGACTGTACGGAACCAATGGTTCGGTTCGGCAGGACCGCGATGAATGAGATATGCTACGAGATTTTCACTCTTTACATCCTCACACATGCTGCAATATGACAATAATTAGAGTCTAATTAAAAATAACATATATATAGCTTATTTGACTTACGATAGCTTGCTCATTTAGATCCTAAATTAATGATTAATCCGAGAAAGTCTCGTCAACATTATCCGTCTTGGTTTTAGTTGATGAATATTAATTTTTTCTTTTCGAACGTCCAATAGCTACCTTAGCTACATACGAGTGGGCCCGGCTTGACCAACGAACTCCCACGAAACGAGTGCTCTGATTGGCCATTGGCTATGTTTTGGTAGGTGGACCCGGAAATATATCGGCCGCCGGGTAATATTTCGAATGCATGAATGTAAGTGCTTCGCGGTTCTGAGGAACAAATTGGATAATTCATTTATAAGTAAGTCCGAAAATTTCACATTCTATAATAGGTTAGCAAATTTTGAAAACTGTAATTAGGAGATATATAGACCGACCTAATTTACATCTGATTTAGAAATCAGGAAATTAGATCTAAATAAAGAAAATCGGGGGAGAAATGTCGGTAACGAAAAGCTGTTACGCTGTGGCTCTAATTTACCCCCACGGTACGAGATCTCTGGGTTGCCATCTGTATTGGGGAATGACAACAAATGTCAGTTTTATTAAAGAAATGACCCAAATCAGATGGTTATTGCTGTCTACCCATGAATGTGCCTAACTACACTAGCGCCCCTCATTCTCGGACAAGCGCCCCTACTGCTGAGGGGTCAGCATTTTTATAATGTAAATCTCGGGTTTGCTCATTATCATCAGGAACATGCAACAGGTAAGCAACTTGCTATCAATCAGGAATCAATATTTCATACTTTTGGTTAAATTCTTGACCGAGCCTAGTGATAGGGTGTCTGAACGATTTTTCAATTTTCAATTTGGGATCGTTTTTCACCATTTTTGTTTGATATTTGAATAAAAAATGATATCAGAATAATACATTTCAAATTTCAAGTCTCACCGATGTTTCTATCAAAAGTAACAGCCCCTCCAAAACGCTGGTATATTCATATCATTTTGGTCAAAATCGACGAAAAAGACGTCCACGCAGAGTGATGTTGTTTTGCTAAATTTAGCCAAACAGCTGTATCGCGCGATATGCAAGCGTATGCATATCGTACGCATGCTGCTAAGCCAATCCGCGACTTGCAGCTTGAGCTACGCTGTCTCCGCGACATGTGCCATTGACTAGTATGGTTGGCGTTCGTCGCACAAAAAACCCGGAAGTGAATGCACGTTATAGTCAATGGCAATATCGCGGAGATGTCTCCGCGATATTGCCATTGACTATAACGTGTATTCACTTCCGGGTTCTATGGCGGGAACGGCCACCCATACTTTCATTCACTATAAGCGCACATGTTACGCGATGTAACCATGGTTTGGACTGAGCGGAGCTCACGCCTCCCTAATTAGCTGATTCCAAAAATGTGGGAAGGGTATTTTCAAACTGTTATAACAAATGATCCCTTGGGGCTAGCGAAAAAAAAAGCATCTGGATATTATCCTTACGTCTAGCCCTGCTTAAGCCGCGGGGCGGCAGCTCAGGAAAGTGGCAAATTTTGGAGCTAGGATGCAAACAACATTTCAATCGCTGTTTTGACCAAGATATTTTTAGAATTCTGGGGGTGGCCCCCGATGGGGAATATGGAGAAAAACCTGCTCTTTCATATGACACCTCATTTATTGAGTTTCACCTTCAGGATCATTTGTTATAAAGGTTTGAATTTCAAATTTTTTCATAAAATCATTGACCAATTTTGGATGGTCGCGCAATGCACGTAGACCACATAGGGAAGCGTACAATCTCTATGGGAAGGGTTTTAGCACACAACATTGGGTGCGCGATCAGACACCCTACTAGTGACGTGTGCGGTCACACCGGCCAGCGGGGCCCTAGCCCTGCCCCGTCGACGTCGGCTGCCCTGCCCTAGCAGTGGCATGCTGCGACTGTACATTCATCCCTCACAGACACAGTCGAGTCACGCCCCCGGCCCCCCCCACTCAGGTTTCAAAATGACCGCATGCGTGTTGCCAAAATGTCCTTTTCGTAACAAAAGAAAAAGGTCGAGCCGTATTGACTTTACACACCGGACTTTTGCTGAAAAGGGGGGGTGCGGAAAAAGGCTCGTATACAAAAGAAAAAGGTCGAGCCGTATTGACTTTACACACCGGACTTTTGCTGAAAAGGGGGGGTCGGTTGGAACACGCATAGTCTATGCGTACCCTAAATAACACTGAGTGGGGGGGCCGGGGTCACGCCTTCACATTTCACAGACATAACAGTCCCTCTGGGCCTCTGAAAACTTCATTTACTGTCCTTTCATCTCATAACTTTACACATACTTAGCAGAGATAATTGCTTACCAATCAAACTTTCCTATCTGATCTTCGAAAAGGGCATTCGAAGGTTGAAGGCCAGTTAGGAGAACAATGACTCCTAAAAACGCTGGTGCTATGCAAGTCGCCATCTTTTCTCTATCAATTTGAAGCGCGCCCTCTATCCATGAGTATCGTCGAATTTATGAAAAAATCGCTGGAGGAATTTCCGGAGAAAAAAAGGATAGAAAGAAAGAGAGAAAGAATGATAGAGATAAAGAAAGGAAATAACGAAAATCACGCATCAATCAACGCAGAAAAACCAACATTTTGATAATACCTCATCATCAAGATCCTAGTACAAGCCAATTTTATGTCATGATGTTAAATACAAATTAAAACAATTATTCACCTTTAGGACCTGCATCAACAAATTCAGGAAATCGCTCTTGAAACATGCTAGATTTATTATCACATACTCATTATCACCATGATTATAATCATCACAATCCCCATCATCATTATCTAACATAAATATCACAACCACAAACACATTATTTTCATCATCACCCATCATCATCACTATCATCACCCATCATCATCATCATCATCATCATCACCATCATCATCATCATCATCACCATCATCATCCTCATCATCATCACCATTATCATCACCATCATCACCATCATCATCATCATCATCATCATCATCACCATCATCATCATCATCACCTATCATCATCATCACCATTATCACCCATCATCATCATCATCACCATCCTCATCATCATCATCATCACCATCATCATCATCATCACCATCATCATTATCACCACCATCATCATCATCGTTATCATCAGTAATCATCAGTATCACCGTCATCACCATCCTTATCCCCAACATTATAAACACCAATGGCACAATTAACATGTCAAATGGAAAAAAGGCAAATTAAAATTTGAATCTGCTCCAGATGTCATTTACATTTATAAGCATTTTCAATATAGAACATTCCAGAATACATATTTTGATGAGAAACTGTTTATTCTCAAACATTTCCTCCATGATATCATATACAAACACATTAAATCAAATATTCAACAAATAGCCTCCAATAACATGTGGAAATTTTTTCAGAACCACTCCAACCTCACATGAATAAAGATAAATTCATGCATCAAAAGATAATACCTTGTATATATGCCTCTTTTCATTTTCCCAATTATTCTGTATTCTACTAATTCAGTTAAACTTCACCCTAAATCTGAGATCACAAATGAAATCACAGACATCGGACTAACTTCCTTTGTTAAACCAGATTTAAAGCCTGTCTGCACTAGTTTGGCCAGGAGGGATTAGACCTCCCTGTGTGGTCACTGTCAGGTGGTTATCTGATCAAACTGAGCTCTCAATTAACATAAGAAAAAGGTGATCATGGGGGACCAACGGGTATCGCTTAGGCATTATTTGCTATATAGAGGGTGCAAGTTGCTACAAGTAGTGCAATCCCACTTTAACCCATATTTATATTAAAAAAGGAGTAAACCTGGCTCTGGTTTTAGATTTGAGTAGAATACAGGTCATGGTGTACATCTGTTTTTAAATTGCTTGTAGATCCACATGGATGTAATCTACAAATGTTATTCTTTGATAAATAATTCCAGTGCATTTGTTTTCTTCATTATAGTTTTATCCATGGATTGATTTTCTTTGCTCCCTCCCCCACCTCCCCCTCTACTTTTTAAAAATTCTACTTCAGCCGGTTACGATCATGGACACTCGTGATAATTTTGTCTTTGAAGGGCATCACCTACAATAGAATCAGGTCACTCCATTAAAACATTGCACTTAGCCTGATTGCCAAAAACCATTACAGGTAGTCAGCAGCTAATTTACGTATACTGGTACTTGATGTTAAATGAATTCAAAATTGTGCATGTATAAGTATAGTTTAATTGCCAAAATCATGACTTTTTTCCTTCACATCATCAATAATTCTAGTTGAATGATTGAACTAGAAACGGCTATAAAATGATATCCTATGACTTGAAACGGTTGTATGTGAAGTTCACAACAAAAGAATATCCACCAACATGCACTTGCAATGATTGAGCTTAGCAAGGGTACACAACGTACTGTAACATATATACCATGAGTAAACAACAGCATCTGCTAAGGTCAAACTCATGATATTTACAAACAATATGAAAACTTTGAATACTGACAACTGTATGCCAGGAAATCTAGCATTTCTAAGGATTTACTAGACTTGTGTTTCAATTATTTTATTTAAACATGGTTACTCTCTCAGCCTAAACGGTTGTTTTTCAGAAAGTCTGTGTTGACTGAATGTGTTCTACATTATGTGTTTTTGGATCAATTGATGTTGAGATTTACATTTTTCATAGGCACTCAAGTACAGGCAAGATATTTATGCTTAAAGTAAGTATAGACACTTATCATGCTGTTGAAATAGACCCAACATATACAGGTAGTTGAAAAAGCAGTTACTGGCATACATTGTAAATATGCCTAGCTGTTTGACAAACCCATTCACTATTCATGAAGTTTTAAAATGGTAATATAATTTTCAAGCATGCTACAGAAAATGTAATATAGACAAGTACCAGGAAGAAATGGTGTTTGAGAAACATTTGCACATGTGTAATGATCAAATTATCTTCACCTTATGAAAATATGATGACAATCTTCACTTTCTCCCCACACTTCATGAACGAATGATAACACTTTCCAGCTAATGTTTCATCTACTGCACATGCATGTGGAGATGAACTCATCAGTGCTGTGCAAGAGAAGCAGTTTTTCAACAGTAGTCCAACATGTTTGTCGTCCTGATGAAATCATCATGGTTCTACGACACATGCTCAGATGACAATCGCTCAGCAGACAATTCACTACGCTATCTGAATTCCTATCTTCAACTCAGGACCAAACACTATACCTGGTTACCTGGTATAACCATAAAACTTACTGAAGACCGAAGGCCCAATCGCAAAACCCTAACCGAAGCACTAAACCTTACATAAAATGACAATTGCAACCCCAACCCTAACCCTACACCTTACCTACCCCCCCCCCCCCCAACAACCCTACATCTGTGATGAGATAATCAGGAGCAAACGATGCAGGAGCACTTGTCAGACCACCCTCTGCACCATCATCACTGCTTTACAACAGTAGCTGTTCTTTCTTGAGCAACAGTCCACCGACCCTCTCAATCTTGGCATTGTTCTTCCCTAAGCTGACCTATGACCTCAGACAGCATCTGGTTGCACATGGCAGAGTAAGGGTTCATCTGGATGACCTGTGTACGGGCGAAGGGGCTGCCGAGGTTAGCAGCGCGCTTGAAGTCGGCCAACGCCTCGTCGTCTTTCTTCTCCAGCCTGTAGATGAGCCCTCGCTGGGTGTAAGCCTGGCAGGCGGCCTTGCCACGACCCTGGCTCAGCTCAATCGCATGGTTCAAATCCTCTAGAGCTCCTGTACATCATGTAGGGGTGTCAGAAGAGAGAGAGGGAGGGGAGGGAGAGAGGGAGGGAGGGAGAGGGGGAGGGAGAGAGAGCGAGAGAGAGGAGAGGGAGGGAGAGAGAGAGAGAGAGGGAGGGAGAGAGAGAGAGAGAGAGAGGGGGGAGAGAGAGAGGGGGAGAGAGGGGAAAGAGAGAGGGGAGAGAAAGAGAGAGAGGGAGAGAAAGAGAGAGAGAGAGAGAGGGGGGGGGGGGGAGAGAGAGAGAGAGAGAGAGAGAGAGAAATAGATCATTGTCTTGAAGTGGAACAGATGAAAAGCATCTCGTAACGCATTCATTTTTTCAGGTTTAAAAGATATTGTTCTGCATTATAGGTATTGGATTAACACCAGTCACATTTTACCAATTTTTAAAGTGAACCACATCAATTCGTCCTTGTTTTCACGAAGTGACGGTAGTGAGGAAAAACGTAACGCAAAGTGAATGCAATTTTTTTTCACTACCGTCACTTCGTGAAAACAGCGACGAATTGTTTGATTCGACACATCTCCAAAATTTCTTCTCATGACTAAATTTGAACCCAAACCATATCAACATCTAAAATTTACTAAGAGCAGTTCATGAAATCAACAATATAGACTACTCAATCATTATGAATATCAAATAACATTTTTTTAAAGCATTATATGAACTTCATTTACATTTTCATTCTAACCTTGTAATGCTTGCTTAATAACTTTCAGTCTTTTCAAATTTATCAAAAGTTGAGTTCCAATCTTTGATTAATACTGGTTCCCATTATCTTGTCAACTGTGCCACTCTGTGTTTCAAAAATTGTGATCACTTACCATCTACATCTCCTCTTAGACGAAGAGCTTGGGCCCTGTTGTTATAGCATGATGCCCTGTTAGGAGCAATGGATACAGCTTGACTGAAGTAGTTCAATGCAGCATCGAAATCATTGGCCTCGGCACTCTTCACTCCTTCAACCTCAAGTTCCTTTGCTCTCTTATCATCATCAGACTCATCTAAAAATGGATAAAGAGCAAGATTTGTAGAGCCAGAGCCAGAGCCTAATGGGTTCACTGACGAAGTCTAAGATGTCTGTGCCTGGACAGGTTGCTTGTCCAGACAGGCAAGACAGCTGAATACAAACAGTAATTTGAACAAGTTTAGACGATCTAAACTGCTCAAAAAAAGTTCTGCAATTCAAGTGTGAGTGTTGATATCTATCTTGTTACTATATCATCATAATTTAATTTGGTATCATTGAAATGCTTTTTTTTTACGATGGAGCCCAATTTGTAATGAGAATGTAATCATGGAATGTGCAGTATACTAGTACCTGAATGTAGGCAACCGCTCACTTGTACTTGTGTATGCGCAGCATTTGAGAGCAGTTCAACTGAGCTGTAGGCCTACTGGAGATGAGTACTGCACTGTGCATGTGGAAAGATCGCACGTCATGACTTGCTGGTAGGTGTTTGCAGAGTGCCTCACCGCAGAGGTTCGGGCCAGCTGCATGCCCATCATCCCTATCGCAGTATTTGCGCCGCGGCTCGAAGTGAATGAAAACTTACCCTGAATTTCAGCCTCTAGTATCTCTTCTGGTTGTTCTTCCGGAATTTCTTGTCCTACTGGTAGAAGAGGATTAAAAACAGCGTCCAACACAGCCGCATCATGTGCACTTTGTTTTGACATTCTCTCTTATATAACGTCTAACGTGAGATCCCCAAACACAAGTAAATGGTTGCGCAATCGCTCGACGTTAGAATACTACGCTTTTGTTGTTGTTTTTCTTTGGCGTTTTCAATCGTCTTTGGATGATTTTCGCCATGTAGTCTAGTCCTGTAGAAGTTTTTCAGACCTGGAAAAGTTGATAAGTACAAGGTTTTTTTTTGTTGATTTGTGTTCTAGATGGGTATTGAAGTAAATTTAGCTTGGTTGCCAGCTTGGCAACCTTGGGCAACTTTTTTAATAGCCATATGAGCATAATCATCTAATTAGCATGATGTGCAATAATATGTCGTTAATCTCAATCCAGGAAGCCTGAAACCATGGATAATACGACTTTTCAAGGGTTTTCTACATAAAAACATTAAAAAATCCTCCGTGTGCCCATGCCTTGAGCCGAAATGCATGGCCGTCCAGAGGAATTTTTTATGTTGGGGACCGGGGTAAAATGCAATAAATTATTGAAAATCTATTGCATTTTTTTTTTTTTTTTTAAATTTATGGAAACTGCCCCCTACTCTAGCCCCCGCTGCGTATGTACAGTCATGATTCAGTGACAAAGCAATGGCCTCGTAACCGTGAGGCCCCAGGATCAAAACCGTGTCGATGTGCTACATTAGTGCCCTTTTGTGGGGCATTATGACCTAAGGGCGTAGGTCCCCTAGTTGATAAGCATAGTAGTATACACATGCTTTAGCAGTCACCCAAAACACACAATGGCACATTATTATTTAATAAAATCTGAGTATGTATACTATTATCTAGATCTATTATTTTTAAATTATTTTTAATATACATATTGCTCCGATTGTCTCATTTTCGCTCGCGTGAACATTGCCAGCACAAACCACTGACCTCTACCTCCTGAACGGATCATTTTTAAATTTGGGTTTTGCAACTAAAATCTTGCTTAGAATTCAAAAGATCTTTTCAGCAATCAGAAACGAATGGATACAAAGTGATTTTATGGAAGTGGACATTGAAAATTTTGAAATAGAATTGATGATATATGGACGTTTACAGAAGCTATGTGATATAAAATCTAGGCGGTTATATGATTACTTCATTGAAGACCTTCAAAAAGAGTATACATTACATGTTACAGATGGCAACTGTCAATTTGATCTTGGAATGACGGAGTTGAAAGAAACATTCACAAGGATGAAAGGTGCAATGCTTTGTAATATACATAGAGAGTTTCAATACAAACAATTACAAGGGGCTGTATATACGAAAAGAGAGCTCTTTAAATTTGGTTTTGAGTCAGACCATTTTTGTTCCTTTTGTGGACTAGAAGTAGAGACATACCAACATTTATTTTTAGATTGTCTTAAAGTTAAAAGATTATGGCAGGAGGTAATTCAAAAGTTACATTTAATCGAAATTGACATTGATGATTGGAAACCCATATTTATGGGAATATCCGGAAATACTACTAGAATATTTGTAATAAATTGTATCATATTTTTAGTAAAGTATATCATTTTTATTTCTAGAAAAGAAGGAACTTTGCCATCTGTACAGAAAACAGTACATATGCTTAAAAATTACAGAGACGAGGAATACAAAATAGCCTTCAAAAAGGGGAAACTGGGGATGCACTTACAGAAATGGGAACAAATCGATGCATTTTTACCTTAATGGACGTGGGTATTATGTGGGTATTATTATTATTAGTAGTATTATTAATTCTCTCTCGTGTACAGGTGGACAAACCGGAACAGGTTGCATGCAGTGTGTGTGTCGGCGTGAAGGGTGTGTGAGATGGGTGGGCTAGGGGGGGGGGGGGGGGGGGGGTGAAGAGTCTGTGTGATGTGAGTTGAGGGAACAGGTTGCATGCAGTGTGTGTTTGTGTTTGTATGGTTGTTTGTGTGTGTGAAAGGGGGTGTGGTGTGGGTGGGCTAGAGGGGGGGGGGGGGGGGGTGAGAGTGTTGTGATAGGATGGTAATATGTAACTTTAAACCTTCCTCTACTGTTATTTTGATTATACACTGATACATGCAAGACTTTTTTTTTTCTTCCTTTTTTTCCCTTTATGTTCATTGATTAATGTAACTTATGATATGTCTTGTATCAAAGAATTTGTTTTATATTGCTTATCTTGATAATTTCTTGTTATGTGAATTTCTTGCTATGTGGAATTATGAGGAAGGAAATAAAATATCATTTAAAACGAAAAAAATCTACACTTTAAACCTTCCTCTACGGGTATTTTGATTATACACTGTTACATGCAAGAATTTTTCCCCCTTTTTTTTCTATGTTCATTGATTGATGTAACTCATGAAATGTTTTGTATCAAAGATCTTGTTTTATATTGCTTAATTTGATAATTTCTTGTTATGTGAATTTCTTGTTATGTGAAATTATGAGGAAGGAAATAAAATATCATTTAAAAAAAAAAAAAAAAAAAAAAAATTATGATTCCATAAATTGGGGTAAAACAAAAATATTCCACCTACTTGCAAGTGCCTTTGCGGTTCTATATGTTAAGTGAATAAATCAGTTTTATCATTGTTTAGGCGAATCAGACAAAATAGAATTTGCGATGCAACGATGTGGTGTATACGATTAATATTGCAGTATAAATGAGGTTAGGAGACAATGAGAATGTTAAATTAGGATGGCGATGCGATAGCCTTGAGAATATACTGACCCATTTTATCATAATAAAACAGACAATTTACTAATTATGAGGGGAAGCGGATTAAGAGATCTGGGAAGACTAACATATTAATAGAGGAGAGAAAATAATGCGCGTAAGAGGTTGGGGTGAAAGACGTTAAGGTCGGGGAAGAGAGACATGAGCGAGAGAGGCCGGGGGGGGGGGGGGTGATGACATAGGGAAAGAATGTCAATTGTACAGTTTCTTAATTTTCTGCGCACGAGCGAATTAAACGCGCAAAAAATTACAAAGATTACAGGCACCTTCTGCCCGAATATAAGGCCATTCGGGCATCTCGCTACTTGAATCATACCATTTCATTTATTAAAAAGCTTTTTTTTTCACCATAAAATTCCCGGCTCAAACATTCTTCCTCCTCACCTTTTAAGAAAAAATATATATTCTGTGACAAAATAGTGAAATATATCACAAGAATACACCCTTTATCGTTTTTTTTCTGAGCTTTTATTAAATTTTACTGCCAAGAAGTCGTAATGTCTATGAATAAACTATTATTGATATACATGTACGTGGCATATGTCTACCTTCTGTTGGCATGCAGCATGAAGGACGTTAACTTGTATTCTTTTACATGATTACTGACAACAAAATCATGTCAGTGAAATAAGTGATGGACAGGGGCGAGGCAAAACCCATATAGAACTGTAACCACAACTTGATAATACACTTATAAGTCCTGTTTTCAATGAATAATTGAACCTTTTACCAAATTTCACCAATATCAATACGTAATACAATCACGCTAATAAACAAACCATTTAATAGACCCAACCATAATATCGGCAGGGACGGGGATAAACCGCGAAAACATTTCACACTCGTCTACCTCCAATTCACTTCACCCCTAATCGTTCTAAATTAAAAAGAAAATATCAAGCATATATTACTCTGGATCAGTGGTGTCGATTTGTTTCCGTGGTAGGAGGGGGGGGGGGGGGGATGATAGGTGCCAAAATATTTTCGGCAATGGATCAAAGCAACGAAGAGGTAGAAGCGTGTGGCAGGTTGCACCCCTCCCTTCCAAGTTATTAACTTTTTCAAGTCACCCTCAATAAAGATAACATTTCAGAGAATATGGGACCCATGTGGGTCCCACATGGACTTGCTACCTGGGTTATTATCCTCTCAAGCGCGTAGCCAGGTTAATCGTAGCCAGGATAATCCTTGTATATGAATCAAGTTTCCCTTCCTCCGCGCGTAGCGCGGAAGTTCTGACGTTTCATTAAATTATTAAAGAAAGAAGACGATTCGTTGTACCTTTCTCGACTCTTAATCCTTGTCTGAATTCAGTGTCCCCTCGCCGCGCGGAAGCTTTGACGTTTCATTAATTTATTAGAGAAAGAAGACGATTCGTTGTACCGTTCTCGGCTCTTAATCCTTTTTCTTCCTACGTCCTCTTCCTTTCTTCTTTCTCTTTCTCTTTTTTTTTGGCCGGCGTTTTTTTGGGGGGCGACCGCCCCCACCATCCCCTGGCTACGCGCCTGTATCCTCTCTGGCTCTCATTATTTCTCTCTATCTCTTTTTTGCACTTTTGCGGTTTGCGCTTAACATTCAGATCGTTGCTTTTAACGCTGCGGCCTTGCATTTGGCGCACTGCATTTATATGATGCTGTTGATTGAATAAATTGAATAAATTGAATAAATTCATCAATTCCTGATAAAGTCGTATGAGCGAGAATTCAATTTATTTTTCACTGATATACAGTTGTCTCATTTACTTCGTTTTCAATTTATATATGTATGTATTATGAAAATGAGATAGCAAAATGTGTATATTGATGGTCATCTACTCTCATCGGGCTCTCATCATTAGTATTATTATTATTTATTTTTTTTTATGGTGAATTATTGAGGGGGGGATATGATTGTACAGGCCACCCCCCATCTGAAATATTGGGGGGGGGGGATATATCCCCTCCCCATCCCCCCCCCCGGGATCGACACCCATGCTCTGGAAAGCAATATTTATCACAAATCATCAGCCCTTAAAACAATTTTACCTCATCAATCATGTCAGTAATCAAAGAAACAAAATGTGCAGGTATAAACCCTTGTAACATCCGTCTTCTCTTTCTCTTCCTCTCTCTCTTTCTAGTACTCTGCTGTACATCAGAGAAAGAACAAGAAACACAGTCCATTTTTCTTTGAGCTCTTTCCTTTATCCTTTGGTATATATCATATGCTCTGATACTATCCTACATCATAATTCTCTTCCTTCCCCTCGGTTCCTTCCATCCTTCCCTAAATGATATCCCTCAGGAGCTCATCATGCTGTAGAAAAATGCCCAATTCATTTATTTTGCCCCTCCTTCCATGTAGTTTCTAACTTCTGCTCCTCATCTACTCTCTGTAAAGCTTCATTTGTCA